AACCCACCAAAGCGGCTCAACTAAGTATGAATATCCTCCCACTCCTGTCAAAACATGATTAAATAAATTAAATGGAAAAAGTACTGCATCTTAAAATGCTAAAGGGAAAGATATGCGTTGCTTCATTATTTATGGACTTAAGGCACAATTAGTAGTCATGTATTAACATTAATGCCAGAAGTACAATTTGAATATGAACATCAAGGAGACAACAAGGTGGTTGTTTATATGTTAACAGTCAACCTAATGCATAATTATGCAAGGAATCATATGCAGCAAATAACTCTCAAGAACCTAGGTGACAAGTATAAAATATAAAGAGAACCGGACGAAAGGTGGATGAATTGGAAGCTATTGGCAGGATGAGTAGAGGGAGAGCAATCAGAAGGGACGAGATCACAACTGAGTTTTGGAAGATTGCAAGCAGAGTAGGGATGGACAGATGGTGTGGTGAAAAGAGTTGGTAATGTCATTTTAAAAACGGTTAAGATACCCCAAGAATGGCAGGGAGCACGATGATTCCGTTGTATAAAGTCAAAGGTATCATCCAAAACTGTAACAAATTTAGGGGAATCAAATTACTCAACAATACCATGAGGGTTTGGGAACAAATAATGGAAAACATGATGAGTATGGATGTGCCTATTTCCATGAATCAATTTGGATTCATGCCGAGACGATTGACCATACAAGGCACAAAGGTCATCCACCTTGTGAGGAGGTTCAAGCGGCAGTGCAAGACTGCAAGGATAGGAAGAGAGACAAACACAAAGTGTTTATTGAGCCCTATGCAATGCTTGGAGATTTAAAATGCATTGGTAGCACACACAAGAGTGATTAGAGACATGTACCATGGAGCCAAGATCAGATGATGATGATAAGTGGAAACTCAGATTATTTTATGGTTGAGAAGAGGTTGCATCAGCGGTAAGCTCTTAGTCCTTTTTTATTCACTTTAGAGATGAATGAACTGGCATAGCATGCAAAGTACATTGGTGCATGCTTTTTAACATATGATGTATTAATTGGCAAAACATGTGAGGGAGCTAATGATAGATTGGATGTGTGGATGTTTGGATGCAACCCTGGAGTCTAACACTATGTTTGGTTCAAGGAATTTGAGAGGAAGAAAAAGAAAATGAGAAGAAAACATTTTTCTTGTTTGGTCAGAGAGGAAAAGAAAAGAAAAGCGGAAGGAAAAGAAAATGAGAAGGCAAAATTTACTAAGTGGAGGGATATCCAAATTCCTACCCTTTTGGTGAAAAAATGAGGGAAAACTATTTTATTTTCTTTTCCTTTCAAATTCTTGGAACCAAACATGGTGTAAAGGTTTCATGTCAAGCAAAACTAACATAGAGTACATGGAGTGCAATCTTAGCGGCATGCCACCACAGTCGAAAGGGGAGGTCAAGATTGATTCTCAATCTAACCCAAAAGGACTAGTTTTTGGTACATTTCATTAATCATTCAAGTTGATAGAGAGATTGATGAGTGGGCGGTAGGACTATGCCACTGAAACTGAAAGACAAGCATTATCAAATAACAATTAGACCGGATAAATTGTATGAAGCAAAATATTGTCCGGTAAAGAACATCCATGTGCAGAAAATGAGATTGGCACATATGTGAAATTGTGAATGCTTAAGTGGATATGCCAACATACTCGTAGGAATGGGCTTAAGAACAATGATATTCAGGACAAAGTGAGAGTGGCTTCGATAGAGGATGAGCAATGTGAAGCGATGTTTTAGAGGTCAAGGATTAAAGTTGTAGGGCATTTCAGTTATTGGAATTTTCCTTCTTTTGTGATGTGTGATTAGCTGACTAGAGTTCTCGGGGATAGCTGGGTACAATGAGATGTTTGCTTTGCTGCCCTTTATTTGTGTGTTAGTAGTGTTTCTTTCTCCATGGTCCTTACTTTTGCTTGTTAGACTATTCTAATATGTTTACTTTGTCCTAGTGAACCGGGGTCTTTCATAAACAGCTTCCACGTATTAGATTATTATAATATGTGTGCTTTGTTCTAGTAAGGCATCCATTCACCCACCTCCCAAACATTACTTGTGAGACTTAACTAGGTACATCTTTGTTGTTGTTAAAGTATAAATATGCATGGATGCCTTGTCCTATAATTAGAGATAATCGCAGCTCTCAAGTAGTCTCAAGTTACGATAGCAACACAATCCCTTTGAAAGCGCATGTGAGAAGGAAATAGAGAGTGATATTTGAAATGTGTTGTTATTATATAGGGCAGCTAGAAGTCATATGAGAAATTCAAATATCATTACTCCTTTTATTTGATTTGTATAGCCAGCTGATCATTATAACCTTGATCATTATTCAATACATAACCTTTGGATGTAGGTTCGAAACTTAGCTACTTTTGAAGAAACACCAAGCTCAAGTAAAATGAATCTTTATGGGCTTGGGAATAATTCAACTCTACAAATAGATAACAGACTTCTTCCAATCACTACAGAAGCGATTTTTGTTACTCGCATTATCAATTTCCATGGAAATGGATATGCATTGCATCTAAATCATCTCATATAACAAGTATGCTAGAATAAACTACTCTCAGCAAGAGTATGTACTACCAACCATCTCAACATTAACCACCAGCTAACCAAGCTAAAAACAGGAGGAAGACGTTGGCCTTAAACCTATTCACTTCCAATGATCTGTCTAGATAATGAACTAGAGAATGAACTATATGAGCTATAATAGTCACTCCATCATGAATCCTCTGCTGAGTTGATATGATTCTGCCTGAAGTTCAAATTACAGCTAGGACATCCTTAAATACTTTCTCCATTCCACAAAAGTTTCCCCACTTTCACTTTTTCTCTTTCCCTTTTTGGTAAAGGATATGTGATCCAAAATCATTCTCTCTTTTCTAAAAAAAATCTAACAACTCTCCATTTAATTTTCAACATCTTTTCAAAACTTTTATTAATCTTCATTAAGTCAAAGTGGAAACTTAATTTGGGAGTTGGGACGAAGGGAGTATGCAAATAGTCACGGCTTTACCTATTCAGACATATAAGACTTCTTCAATATTTTGCAAACAAACAAACATTATAATCCCAACTCAGTTGGGGTCAAGATGTACACAAGCTTACCACTCTTAAAACAAAGAGGTTGTGGCATTTAATGCCAAAAACTCCTTAGAAAGTAGGAAGGAAGTAAAGTTTAATGTTTCATATTGATTTAGTCCACTGTAAAAAATGACTCTTCTCGAACAAGGAACAACCAAAGCAAATTAGCAGTTTTCCCTAACAGCAATAGAACTGTCAGTCCAATTTGATTAGCTTTTGTAGCTAAATCGCGTCTCAATCAAACGAAATACTTAGCGATTAAATTTGCAGAAGATAGAAATGAGGATATGAACAGTACCGGCCCTGATGCCATAAGCTGCGGCCTTTTTTAACCCTTTTTTCTTAACAATGAAGCTAGCGCCGATGAATAAGCTGGACGATAAGGCTAGAACCAATCCCTTGATGTTGTCCGAGGACATCCCCATGTAGGCATCCCTCAAACTTTGAGAGATCGAAGCAGACGCCGATTCTTCCGATGAAGCCATCAAATCAAAAGCCCTAACCCCTAGTAATCTCCCCTATCATCATTCTTCACGATAAGTAACACCAACACATACACTGAACACTAGAGCAACACCGATTAAATTCACTATCGGCGAGAGACAACGAATCGGGAAGGCTATTGGCTAATCGAGCGGCGGCGGTGCCGGCGGCGGAAGGAAGACGGACGGAAGATGGCGAGCTGGAAACAGCTGGTGAAGCGAGTGATCGGCGATCGTGACGAAATGGATGAGAGAGTTAACCACTCCACCGTAACTACACGAATCTGTTTTCTTTTCTCAACAATTCTCCTGCAGGAGGGCAACTCCACTCGTACAAGGAAAAATAATTATAATTTGGAAAATAAATTTCTTTCAAAAATGGGAATGTTACCCAATTTGGCAATTCTGATTCCTATCTCTTTTTTTGTGACATTCATCCTACTAGTATTATTCTCTAACAAGAGTGATATGAAAGTTGGTTTTAAAATTGGAATGTTTTAATAAAATTCAATTTTGTTTTTGTTTGATTTTTAAGAAATTTTTAAAAATGTGAAAAAAAATAGAAAGGAAAAAAAGTTGTGAGACAATTAATGCTTTATTTAAAAGCAAACAGATAATGAATAAAATGTAATTTGACATGAATAAAAAAGTAAATGATCTATTTTTGTAATGGAAAGAACTTTTTCATAGACAAAGATAAATTGTCATCACTTCTGTCTCTAAAATAATTTTTTGTTTAACTTAGTTAGTTTTTCTGAAGAAAAAAATTACTGATTATCATTTTATTTAGAAAAAGATTTTGAGTCATTCGTGTTATTTCTCAATTTTAAAAAAACTAAAAATATTTGTAATGTTGGTAAATTATTTTATACTCCGTCCCTAAATATTTGCAACATTTGCTTTTTCAGTAGTTGCAGAAATTTTTGTTTATTTCTACGTTTTCATTGGTAATTTGATAAAATAAAATATTCTTGACACCTCTTATTTCGAAGAACTTTTCATGTAGTTTTTTGATATGTAAATTTTATTTTATATTTCAATACCAATACGTAAATAAAATAAATTGAAAAAACTTGATATTTTACCTCGGGAATACAAATGTGACAAATATTTAGGGACAGAATGAGTACTTTCTAGAAATACTCCCTATATCGTAGTACTTATATCTCAGGTGATATGAAATATTAAAATTTACCTTTTTAAAATTAACTTGGTATAGTTCTAGCAACATTTATGTGGGTTATATAAAGAACTCCTTCTTTAGCTTAAGTGCTAAGAAGATCACTTTTCAAGATTAATGAGAAAGTTCAATCGGATTCGAGCTTTATCAGAGGCAGATGTATTGACTCATTGTGCGTTATTAAATCGAGAATAGTATAAAGAGATATTCCAATCACAATTCCGATTATCTACTATTGCATAAACAACATGTGATTTAGTTAGGACACAGGTAGTAAAACTTTTAAACCAAAAGAGATAGGAATCAAAATTGCCAAATTGGGTTCATCCCGATCCCACCCCTGCAATGGCAAATACAGGATGATGTGATAATTTGTAAATGTCTGTTGTAGACTTGTAGCAGCACAATAAACGGATCAAGCACAACTGTACAGACAAGTGACAAGTCAAAAGGTTTTCTGATAAGCACATAAACACTTCTACTGCCATTTACGCTAAGGAAGAAAAATGTAGGGTATGTGTGAGTCTATTACGACTACAAAAGCTGAACAGCGGCGATTGTTGGGATTTTCTCGCGGAGCTTCTGAGTTACAGCCACGCGAACGGTCATAACACTTGCGGCAGGACCTGTGATCCGGACCTTTACAATGGGATCGTCTATGGCCACCAGCTCCAAACTTCCACCGGCTGCCCCTACCAGATATGGTCTTATCTCTTCAAGTACCTGTCATGTTTTCCACACTTTAAAAGGCCAATTGCAGAGAATAACAGTTTAAACATGTACACACATGATGTCTTCGCATCTTGCGGATGATCTGAGCGTTACCCTAAATCTAGCAGGAATGCAGGATCAACCTAAAGCTCAAATTGACTCCTTTTATACTTCAAATTTTCTTAAGCTAGTTTATCCCTGAATTAAGGCTCGGCTCCTTTTGGTAGCCAGAATTGGTTTGTTGTGATATTCTCAATATTGCTCACCACCAAAGTTTTGTATTTCTTTGGCTAAAATGGATGTTACCAAACACTGTTTATTAAAAAAATCGATAGCCCTATTAGTACACGGGAAGATTTACTTGTGAATTCCTTGCCCCATCTACTTCTGATTTTTGGTACACCTGGAGTCTTTTTATGGGGGAATTTTAACCCCCCCCCCCCCAAAAGCTTATTCCACACAGAATCTTCTCTCACTATATTCCTCTACTCTTTTCTGCGTAAAAAATGAGCCCCAAGTTTCAATCTAGCTCCTCCGCTGCCATTCCTATTACTATCATGTTAATATGCTATAGCTCTTTGTTACCATCTCATTGCAGATCAACACTGAGCATGTGCAATTGTGCATTTATTTACAACTATGACAATTAGTTCACCTCATTCTTTTTTTTGTACCTTTACACTTCCCGTGCTACATTTGATTGTTAGCCGAATCCTCTCAGAATTGGTATCTCTACTCCTTTGGATAGAGGTAAGATATGTGTACACCTTGACCTCAAACCCTACTTTTGAGTGGGTCAGTGGGATATACTAGGTATGTTTGGTTTGGTATAGGCGTATAGCAGTGTTATGCAAATGCAAATGGAAGTTCATAGTCATCTCTCCATTTTGCTTTCAAACAAGCACTTCAGATACTTTATGTACTGATGTATTCCAAATACAGGACTAATTCTAAAAACTAAAATAAATATATATACAAGACTTAAAAAAAATCATCACCTTTTCTATATTCTCTTCATTAAGCTCAAGGCCACTTTCTTCATCTGGGATTGATTCAACAGCAAACACCTCTGGTATCTTTTCCATCAAACGGCGCTCAATGCCCATTTTCATTGTAACTACAGAACTAGGGCATGAGCCACATGCTCCCTGCAGTTTCAACTTCACAACATTTCCATCAATCTCATGCAATGCCACATTTCCACCATCGGCAATGAGATAAGGCCGAATCTCATCCAATACGCTCTCGACATTTTCTGCAGTCAATGGTAAGTCCACTGCAGAATCGGAAGCTGTAACGGCCTTTACAACTGCAACGAAAGCAATTCCACATTCAATATTCTCAAGCACAATATATATACTCCTAATCCTCCTATTACTATGTACTTGATGGAAAGTGGAAACATTAATCTGTAGATTCAAAACAAAAGTCCACTCAGAATAATTAAGCAATCAGGGAAAGAAAAAAACTACATAAACATGAGACAATTAAGATATTCCTTTTCTAATTCCCAAAGAAAAAAAATTGAAAGGCCTAAAGATAAAATAATTTTTTTAAAAAAAGTATACGATCTCTTTAGCAAATCTAAGGAAATGATTATTAATGAAATGAGAAAACTACACCATTTACCCTCAAATTCTTTAGAAATTGCATGGTTTACCCCTGAACATTAAGAAGTGTACGAAATACCCCTGAATTCTTCAAAAATTGCACGGTTTACCCCTGAACATTAAAAATTGCACCAAATACCTCTGAATTCTTCAGAAATTGCAAAGTTTACCTCTGAACATTTAAATAAAGACATTAATGTTGGGGAATTGTGCTTTGGAGAATTCACAATGGCTAGATGAATCATACTCGCAATTCCCATATGTGGGAGAAAGACACTTCCTATTTAGCATTTTAGGACCAAATTGTTAAGGGTTATTTTGTGCACTTTTTAATATTCAGAGATAAATAGTGCAATTTTCAAAGAGTTCGGGGTAAACGATACACTCTTCTCTTAATGAAATAAACTATAAAAAGAGAACAAGGAAATCACCTTGTCGTCGCCGCTTGAGATTGCTAGAAGAATCAATAGTTTGAGGCGAACATGATGATGCCTGCCGCAGAGGATTGCGCTGCCGCCTGAAGAGTGAAACCCTAGGCGAGACAAATCTAGAACTCTGCAGTTACTAAAGCAATTAATTAATCAGGAGACCGAACTAGTATACGTGAGCGTGTTTATGTATGTGATTTCGTACCCTGAAAGGAGGAGGATGGGGAAAGGCGGCGGCGTAGGACGAAGAAGAGCAGGTAGAAGCTGATGGGGAAGGAGATCCGACGATCCCTTGGTTCCCGCGATAACAAATGGGATGTTGAGGGTTCAACGCCATTGCGGGATGCTTTGGAAAGCTCGAAAATCGTGAAAAAAAAGGAAAACCCAGACGAACAGGCTCGCTTTCGGGTGAAGTTTGGCACTTTTGGGCTTTAATTTGGCCAAATTCTTTGGTCCTTACCTCCCCTAGGTTTTTTCCAATTTAGACTTTTATTACTTCATATTAAATAGACCATGCTACACTTACACCAAAAAATATACCTCATTTGTACACCACAAGTTTGCACAAACATTTCGATGGTTTACACCGACACAAGTGGTGGTGCGTTAATAAAAATTCACACAGACACAAATGTTGGTGCGTTTAACAAAAATTAGTTTTACACCAACACAAAGTGTTGGTGCAAAACTGTGGGGTACAAATTGGGGTACAAACCTTGGGGTACACATAGCATAATCCTATTAAATATGTTAAATTATTGGAATAATAATATTACTCATTAAATTATAAAGTACATGAGCAAGAAAAAGAGAGAAGTCTGATGTGTGCCAGTGGCTGCTGACGTCGTTAGAAAAAGAGAGAAGTTTGATGTGCGCCGGTGGCTGCTCGCGTCGTTGGAGAAGAGAGAAGTCCGAAATGCACTAGTAGATGTAGACATCATTGAAGAAGAGAGAAATTGATGTGTACTGGTAGTTGTTGATGTCGATGAAGAATAAGATTGACGTGCGCTTGTAGCTGCTGACGTCGAAGAAGAATAAAAAATGTTACTGCGCTTGTAGCTGTTGACGTTGAAAAAAAATAGAGAAGGCTACTAGTGACTGAATATCTTTGACATTCTCTGTCTTTTTTATTGAATATGGACAATGAGCTATTTTGTGTTGTTTTTTTTTTGGAATTTTTTTGGTTAACAAAAGAGAAAGAGAAGAAAGATTGATTATTAGAATGAGTAATTTGAGAGAGAAAAAAGGGGGATTAAGGATTGGTGATGAAGAAAATATCTAGTTCTGAGAATCTTCAATAGTGAATTGTAGAGAAACAAATATCATTTTTTCCCATGATTTTGAGAAGATTCAAGGATGAGTTGAGAGAGTTTATGAGGATTTCGGTTTTTTGAAGAACCTTGGAGATTACAAGAGAGAAGTTTCTCTTCCGGTGGTTTTTTGTGTGATTTCAACAGGGTTTTTTCCTTTTTTCATTTGAATGAAGAAGCTGATTTGAAGATAAAAGAAGGAAAAGAAAATAGAGGTGAATAGTGTGAAGCTACCGTCGCCGGAATTACCGGCGGCGGCGACAAAAGCAAAGAACTCTTTTAGGTCACCAAGAACGATGACTCTGATACCATGTTAAAATATTGGGATAATAATATTGCTCATTGAAGTATGAAGTACGTGATAGAGTATAAATAAAGAGATTTTTAACACACCTATGAATAGAGAATGAAGACTAACTAAAATACAACATTGACCACAAACATGAATATGAAGTTGACTAATAATCAAACACTACCATGACCAATACTACCAGAAGTAATATTAGTATTATTGTCTAACAAAGGCCTTGTTTGGATACTAGCAGTTGGCAGTTGGCTGTTGGCTGTTTATGTTAGCTGATTTGAATGGCTGATTGAGTTAGCTGTTTTGACCGGCTGTTTCTGTTAGCAGTTAAATTTTAAGTATTTGGCAACTTTAGCTGTTTATAGTTAGCTGTTTGTAAATAAAATTACATAAAAGGACATCCCTCCATTTATGGTATATTTTATTTTACAATTTTTTTAAATATCATATCATAAATATATTTTTTTTAAATTAAAAAAATTAAATAAAAATTTTATATGTGTGTGTGTGTGTGTAGACGTGATATTTATTTTTCATTTTTTTACATGTAAAAATTAAATCTTTACTATATGGAATATTAAATTTTAATTTCATTTAATTCATAATAAATTATAAATATAAATTTTTTAATGAATTATAAATATAATTTTTTTTAAATTTTATTTTATTTTTTCGTATTTAATTTTTTTAACTTTTATTTTTATTTTTTACATATATTATAAAATATCTTTCAACAAAAATGATTTTAAAAAAAATATTTTTCCTAACCGCCATGTCCAAATGCTACTCACCTTGGCATTTCAGATTTTGGCTTTTCGGATCAAAATGCCAAGTGAAAAAGCCATTAGCCAAACAATGGTTTTTGGCGGTTCGCTTGGTCAAAAAACCAAAGTCAGTCAAATATGCCAAAAGCTAACACAAATGCTGTTTTCCAAACACGGCCAAAATATTATCTTAGTATATCTTTTTTTATAAATACTTTTTTTGATCTTCAATCATATTGATGTTAATTTATATGTTAAAAGTGTAATTTCACATTGGTCTTTTTTTGTCATACACAATTTTAGATGATGCTTCTGATTCATTATTTGTGAGTTCAAATCGCTTTCTACTATAACAATAGTCTACAAATATAGTCTTTCATCAAAATTTTAGTCTACATTTGTAGTCATTATTATTGTGTTGTCTGTATAACCTACATACGAATACGTTACTACAGATAAAGTTGATATAAATGACACTTTTAGCTTTGGAACACCATCAATATGACACTATGTCAAAAAGGACTATTTATGTAAATGTACATATAAAAGAAGGATCACATGCTCTGTATGATATTTTTTCTAATTATAAAGGACCATATATGATATTTTTTCTAATTATAATCATTTTGATAATTTTTTCTTCATATGCTCTGTATGTATTTTTGTTCATTATTTGTTAAAATAGTACATTTTATTTAAATTTTATTTAATAGATTTTTATATAGTTCTGAAATATGTAGTTTTTTTCTTTCTTATTTAAATATTGGTATCAAAAGAAAACACTATTGAAAAGATATATTTTGCACATTGTACAAAGCGAGACAATATTTTTGAGACACAAAAAACATTTTATTTAAAAAAAAGGATAAAAATGGTTTATCTCAAATTATCAACAGCTACCAATAGAATTTACTCCCACCGGACCAAAAATATTTTTTATTTTTTAAAATTTAATTTAGCACAATTTTAAAATTAATACGTATATAATTATGTGATTTGAAATGATGTAGAGAAAAAAGAAAAATTGTGAGTCATAAATAGTTTTTCAAAACTGACCGAAAATAGAAGTGTTTTTTTAACATCGCAAAAAGAAAATGAAAAATCTTATTTGGGACAAATGGAATATACACTTTTTTTAATTTAAGGTGGTGCTAAATTTACCTTCTATTTGGTTAAATCCACTCTATTGTAAAAAATACTCTCTCTGTCCACCATAAATCTTTCCAGACACTATTCACAGGGTCAAACTTTACTCACTTTGTTTGCTCAATTTTACTAGTCATTTCATAAAATAATATAGTCTTGTCACCTCTAGTTTTGTAGAGTTTTTCATGTAGTTTATTAATATATTAATTTTATTTTAAAATTTTACTCCTATAATCAATTAAATTGAATTGAAAATAAAGTCGGTCAAGCCTCGTAACGCGTAATGGGAAGATCATACATGGACGGAGGGAGTACATAATAGATAATTTTGCTCTTATATATTTTACTTTCCCTTTTTAAACATTAAAATTATATTTGGCTCAAGAAAATTAAATGAGAAAAAAATAAAATGGAAATAATTTTTAAAAGAAAGAAAAGAAAATGAGATGACAAAATATACTAAGAAGAGGGAAAATGAAAATTTTTCAAGACTAGCGAGAAAGTGAGAGAAAATCAATTTCATTTTTTTCATTCAAAATTCGTATGCTTTTATTTCTGATATTTATTTGAACTTCTTTTTAAAACTCAATTTAGTTAATAACTTGTATAGAATTAAAACATATACATTATATATTTAAAAATTACATTAAAAATTTTATAAAATAAGAGGTGACAAAACTATATTATTTTCCTAAACTTAGAGCAAAAACAGATAAATAATGTAATTAAAATTTGACCATGTAAATAAAGACAAAAAAATATATTATTAGAGATTTTGGGGATTGGAATGAATCTGATAATGAGGATAATGTTTTGAAAAAATTGTACAACACTTTATTTCAGATTGAGCGTTTTCTTATTTGAGAATGAGTATTGTTTTTTTAAAGAATGAACACTATGTTATTTATTACAAAATAAGAGATGACAAAACTATATTATTTTCCTAAACTTAGAGCAAAAACAGATAAATAATGTAATTAAAATTTGACCATGTAAATAAAGACAAAAGAATACTCCGTATATTATAAGATGTTTATATACTAACAGAGTGGCAGGTGTTAGTGCGTGATACGGCAGAGCAGCCGTAGGCCAGAGGAGATCAAATGAGTGGCGAATTGATAGTACATAAATTACAAAATACAAGTCGCAAAGGGGTCCATAGCTCAGTGGTAGAGCATTTGACTGCAGATCAAGAGGTCACCGGTTCGAACCCGGTTGGGCCCTATTTTTCGTCTCTGTCTTTTTTTTTCAAAACGTAATCACCTAACTATTTTGAGCACGAAGCCTGACTTAGTTCACATTTGTTCTTTGCCTTGTTTTTGTTTCTTTGCCAATTTTTTTCAAGAAGTAATCACGTAACTTTTGAACACAAGGCCTAACTTAGTTCACATGTGTTTATTGCTTTTTTGGGGTTAGTTTTTGTAGATAACAATGGTAAAATATTTTTGTATTGAATTGTTTTGATGATTATAAAGAGTCAATTCTGTTTTTATAAGAAGAAAAGAAAACAAATCACTAAACTTTTATTTTTATCATAATTATATTTCTACTAAAAGAAGTAAAGGAAAACCTCTTCAAGATACTAATTAAATCGAATCTTATAGGAATTTTGTTTTCTTCTTTTGTCAACATCTCACGCCATCTAGACAATAGGAATTTTGCTTTAATCTTATAGGAAGTCGCTCCCATTGTTGTCCTAGTGCCATCTAGACACTTCAAATTTTTTCTTCAACGGAGACGTCACGTTTTTCGAATCTGCCGAATAATCAGTCGAGCAAATTAAAGGACGTCATTCTTTTCGAACCTTCATTGAATTCAAACAAATAGGGGAAACATCATTCTTTTCAAACACCCGAAACGATGATTTTTCTTACTGCCCACAAAAGAAAGAGTTGTCTGTCTATGTAGAACAACTCTTGTCGGACAATTTTTCAAGATTGGTGGTTTAGTTGGGATTCCTTGGCAGCAATGTTTTTTCGTTGAAGCAGTCCATGTGATTCTCTAGTGATGGAGAGCTATCAAAGAAAATCAACATGTTATAATGTCTTGTCGGTAGGCATTGAATTGTGTATGCCCACCAACAGGGGAAGAAGCGTGTTTGAAGTCTCAAGGGACATGCTCTAATACTATGTAGAAAATAATAATGAAAAAACTTATATTTCCATCATAATTATATTCCTACGAAAACAAGAAAATGAAAACCAAGGAAAGATACTAGACCAAATCTTAAAGGAAATCAATTTCCTTGTTTTGTCAATATCTCGCGCCAACAGAGACATAAAAAAACTAAAGAATGAAAATTAAATGCAAGAAATTCTTATGGAACTTAGTTTACATTGGGAAAATACTAAAATAGGAGTTAAATACCGAAAATATAACAATTTAGGAGTTCTCTGTTTTATGCTCGAAATAGAAGTTAAAATACAATTACAGTGTCAAGCATAATCATGTATATTGCCAAGAAATATTATGAATTGTTCATATACAATATCACATTATCACAAACTTCTATTTTAGAAATAAAAATATGGAGCTCTTATTTTGATACTTTTCCTATATTTACTTCTATATCGAGTGATTTATTTTCATATTTTACAAACTAAAGTAAACAGATGATAACAAAATGATACTTCAAATGTTTTTGCTATTACTTTTAAATTCATATATAAAAAATATTGAAAGTCAACTAAAAGTACAATGTATGCGTAATAAAAATTAAACCAAAATTTAAAAATACTTATTATTTAATGAAAATAATATAAAAAGATCATTATATTTACAACATATTAGTATATATATTCGGTTCGGGACATTTGGTATGTGAAATTACCTCATACTATTCCGAAATATTGAACCAAACATCATTCGGTACAATTTGATATTTTTTCGTTCAATTTTTTCAATTATCTCAAAAAAATTTGGTCTTGGTTTGATACTTTACTTTTGGTCCTACTTTCATATTTTGCATAATATTCTGGTTATATATCCGATAAACAGAGTAAAGAGAAGGAAAATACTATTTTAGCTCCAACACCTGAATCTGATTCGTTAACTACATTCTTAAGAGTCTCCACATTTGTAATGTTCTTAGAGCATCTCCAATCATGCTTACTATATTGGCTTGCTATTTTTATATTTTAGCATGTGAATAATGACATAGCAAGCCACTTTTTGTTTCATTTTCTAACCATGAGTTGCTAATCCATTTTATAACTCTAATTTACCTTGCTATATCTTGGAGAGCTTTTTATATTTAGCAAGTCAAATTCATTTTTTAGCAAGCTTGCTATAATATAACATAACTATTGGAGATGAAAAAAAGGTTGGCTTGCAATTATAGCTTTTAGCGGCCAAAATGAAATTATTGAAGATGCTTTTAGAACACAATTTAAAGAGCGAGAATCAAATATTTGGATCAATCAAACATAACACAATTTGATTAGGATTGAATAGGTGTACAGTATAATATCGTAGGGTTGCAAACAACTTGCAGCACTTGAATTCCAGTTGGAATCTACGCTCTAATGGCGAGGCGATCATCTTCTCCGATCATCTCACCCATCTTCTCCGTATTCTTCCCCCGAGGCGATACTCGCTTATACCTCATCGCCGCCGTCTCCGTCTTCTCCCTCCTCCTCCACCACCTCTCACTCGCATCCGCGTCACAGCACCGCCACTTCGAGGGCTTCGACGCCGACGAAGCTGACGAGTTTCTCGATCCGAACGATGGTTCCTTATCCGACCTCGATCTCCCTCCTCCACCTACCACCACCACACTCTCCGTCTCTGACCCTATCGAATCTCACCATGGTCCTCCCGTGTCAGAGCCGCACATCGTTGCCCCGTCCGATCAGAAACCTTCATCGGCATCTTTTGATTACTGGGATGAAGATGAGTTCGAAGGGATTCCGCAGCACGTGCACTTTGAATCGCTTACTGAAACTGTTGGTGATTCAGAATCAGATCCGAATTCCAATGCCAGCTCTGGATCTGAGTCTCCTCCTACAATAGACTCCAAGTCGCTGTCGTCGTATACAGTGGAGATTGTGTGCGTATCGTTTTTAATCGTGTTCGTCATTAACTATTTCGCAGGGAAGAGAGAAAATGAGAACATTGCACTTGCCTGGGCAACAAAATATGCAACCAAGGACTCGATATTTGAGAAAAATTTCAGTTTATTGGGTGTTGGAGAGACAGATGACTCTCCGTTGTTGCTGAAAGAAGGGCAGAATGTGTTCAAGTTCTACGCGAGTGGGAGGAGATATTGCCAGGGACTGCTAGCTACTATGGAGCTCAAGAGCAGGCACGATCTGATCTCCAAGCTGTATAACTTGGTGGTTCCATGCAAAGATGAGATAACATTCGAGGTGTATATGAATGATGATGCCATGGATCATGTGGTGTTTGCTGTGGCAAGGAAGAAATTGGCCAAAACAATGCAGAAGGAGGTGAGGGATCTACAGAGATATGCTGGAGTGGTGGCGCCACCTGCTGGTGGTGGGAGGAAATGGGTGGCCGATGAGTTGGTTGTGGTTTCGGAGTCAAAGGAGGTGGCCGGGGATATGATCACCGAAGTCGTTCTTGAACAGGCATGTTTTTCAAACTATTTGAACCTTTTATACTTCCTAGTACACAATTGTCTTTCTGTTTAGTAGTGAATGTTTGCCTCTTGCCTTTAATGTGTTAAATCTGCAATTGTGAAATTAACCTGTTAGGACACTCAATTAACTGCTATGCCATGTCTAGAATCTGTACCAGTTTAAGTTGCTTCTTGAATGTGTTGTTATTTGTTTTGCTACTTTAAAAGATAATGTGTTTAAAGGATCATTAATCTGGCAGGACACTCAAGTAACTAATATCTGCTCTTTGAGAAATTATGGTGTAAAGTGTTGCCTAAAATAAGATGCAAATCATGTCTTCAGCACCAATAAAACTAGGAGTTTTTTGTTTTGTTTTTATATATGTAGTGCTGAGAGTTACTTGCATCACGAGAAACATGAATTCAGAATTTGACCATGGTTAGTGTTTTGAAAAGATGGAGTATCGTTCTAATTGCAGATTACTCGATTGATACTTATGTTGGGGCAATACCCACTCTTTACCTAGCTTTCACGGTGAAGGGTCTGCACTTGAGTACCCATCAATAACTTTCCATCCAATTCGTAATCATGCAAAGTAAAATAATGATACATATGTCTGTATTTATTATTGAATTTATCTTTATCCTCCACTTCTTCCAAAATTTTACCTCCATTTTAATCAATCTTATGAGTTTGGAGTTTCTTTGAAACAACCTCCCTCCCTACTTTCAAGTAGGGGTATGCTCTTCGTACACACCCTCCCCAGAGCATGCTCTTGTGGGATCCGACTGGGTTGTTGTTGTTGTTCTTGTTTAATCAATCTTATAATCAATGTGAAGGAGGCTAAAAATATAAGTTGAAGTGTTTGTAAATGGATATCATTCATTAAATCTTATGCTACTTCATCTGACTGCATTCTAAATTAGTTATGGCAAGTGGACAACCCGTAGAGTTCTTGAAGCTGGAATTCTATTAAAGTATATGGTATGAGAAAGCAATGCCCCTTACATGTGTACTCTCATGCAGGTATTTGGTGAAAAGGCATTTGAGAAATTCAGGGAGGGATTCATCTCAATGCACTTCTCTGATCAGCACATAGGCTCTCACAAGAAGATGTTGGTTTTCAAGTTTGCACTTCCCAATGCTAATGACATGGCTGATATGACCCGCTTGATTGCTCTCGTACCCTATTACATTGATTTAATCGGGAAATACAAGCTCAGCTCACACGTAAGTATTATATCAGAATTTGAAACTCCAAATAGCAAACATTATTACTCCGTGTTATTATTGCTGCTGGTGTTATTGTTGTTATAAACTGCACTGAAATTGTGAGAATTCAGGCTCGTTCCAAAGCAGAAGTAGCACGGCTTAAGGTTGCACAAGAGTTCTACAAGGAACTGCAGAATGCAAGGCAAGAAGCTTTGCAGAGGAAGAAGGCAGAGCAGAGGAAGAAGTTGGAAGAGGCAGAAGCTAAGCTGAGTGCAGAGGCTATTCGCAAGAAAGAGGCTAAAGACCGTGCCCGTCAATTGAAGAAGGGCATGCCTAAAATGAAGATGACCCGTGCTCATTAGTTAGACTATTTTGGGCACCTCGATTCATGTGACATTGGCGTTCAATGTCATAGCATGACATGAACCAACCCTCTTTTTGGGAGTTAGTAGTGTTTTGTTGTTCTCTCTCACATTCTAAGCCAACTCTCTCATCATAGTATCTCTCTATGTGCACTCATACATTTCACGGTCATTCTTTACCGCTTAGTTCAGTTAGTTGTCTGTGGAAGGCAGTCTGGGGACAACGTTGTTGAAGAGACTTGTGGACTAATGTATAATGTGTTTTGTTGCTCCCACTAAGTTCTATATATCCTAGGAAAGATTTTTCAAATATAGAGAGGTATGGGTATGTGCAAGCAGTTGGGGAATGTGTGTGTTTGGATTAAAGCTTAAGAAGGTGTTTGGGAGTGTGTTTGAAAAGAGCTTTTGAGCTAGGACCTCATTGAAACACAATTTTAAGTGTTTTCCAATCATCTTTAGATTATGAATTGTAGTTTTAGAAGTGTTAATAGTGCTTTAGAAGTGATTTTCACTAAAGCTTAGAATAATTGCTTTCTACTTCTGATTTAACACATTTGCTTTTCAAGATTGGCCGCTCTCAGAAATATTTTCCAAATCTTATAAGCACTTTCAGGTTCTGTTTGACATTAGTGTTAGAGATTAGCGTTAGTGTTTTAAAAAGATTATCCTACGGTAGTCTTATGGTTAGCATTTTCAGAATTAATTTATACCATTAAAATTTTATCTAAAATGCTAGCGCTAATCGAAGACGCTGTTTCCAAACAAGACCTCAACCTCTCGAAAGCACACTCTATACAGGCTTTAGAGTGTTCGGTACTTTCTTGACGTCATGTATGAAACTTTTGAGATTAACTTTCATCCAATACAGGGTACAAGAAATGCTAAAAAATAAAATGTGTGTTGTTACAATTTTTCAATGAGAGAATGTTTTTGAGATACATATTCTTTTTCTTAAACGGAAAATGAAGTTAATTTTGGAATAGACAAAAAAAGAAAAATTGAAGTTATTTGCAGCACTAATGAAATATAATCCATATTTTTATAGAACTTTTAATATAGAGAAAACTATTTACCATTTGTATATAATTTTTAATTTATTTTTAAATGGAGTATATAAACTTTTGTGGAAGAGTCGAAAATGTGTGCAGGTTTGAATATGAAAGCATCGAAAAGTGTTATTGAGATTTGAGACTCGTAAAAGGTGAGGAAGCTCCTTTTGCGCGGTGGGTATGAGTCTAGCCTTTTTGGCCGACTAAGTCACCATAATTTACCTCCTTCACCATCCCTGTCGGGCCAGGGGGTGGGGGCGCCTGGAGTGGGCGATTCCATCTTTTGGACCGAGATTTGAGACTCAAATTTTGATTCTTTTGGAGACTTCACCAATTCATTGCTACGAAAGAACAATTTTTGTGAACAAATTCACAAAAATTGCATAATATCTTTAAAATGAGATCTTTTGACCGGATACAAAATTCAAAAGAGTTTTTGTTTTATTTTTTTTCCTATAGAATTTAAAGAATATTTTTAATTATGCCTTGTACGAGTAAAGTTTATGCCAAAAAGAAAAAGAAATTACATGAACTACTAATTTTTTTAAATGGAATAAAAAAACTCCAATGTTTTTTTAATACTCTTTCATCTGTCCAAAGTATTTTTCAAGTTTTAATTTCTTAGAGTCAATCAAGATCGATCTTTGATCTATTGTTTAATAAAATTACTCCTTCCGTCCCACATTTGATTACAACGTTTACTATTCTAAAATCACGATAATTTTTGTTTATTTGTATATTTTTATTGATTATTTGATAAAATAAAAAATTCTTATCACTTCTTGTTTTGTAATTTTTTTTAAGAGAACTTGTAAAACTTTTGATGTAGTTTTTAAATATGTAAATTTTATTTTTTTTACTTATGTCTCAATTTTTAAATAATATGAATTGAAAAAACTCGAGATTTTTTCTTGTTTTCAACAATTTGTAATCAAAATAGGGACGAAGGGAGTACATGATATTTTAGGACTTGTAATCAAATTAATGGTGTAGATTAATTTTAAAATGTTAACGCTAAAGACTACCGTCGGATAACTTTTTCAAGACGCTATATTCTAACATGACCTAAATCAAATAAGAATACAGATGGATATCTTGAAACTATTTTAAAAAATTAATCCAATAAAAAGATTTTTGTATTAAGATTTAATATAAATTTTATTTAATAAATGATCAAAATTTATTAATAGTGACCATACAAATAAAGCAAAATTAAGGGGAGGGTAGTAAAAATTACTCGTAAAAAAGAAATACTGCCGAAAACGGGAGAGAGTTCGAATTTACATTTTTCATCGTACCCACAGAAGACCTTACCCTAAACAATTTTCATTTTGTTCGTCGACATCTCCGGCGACGACGCATCTTCCTTCTTGCGTAGCGGTGTCTAGGCCTCCGGCATTTCATTGAAGCGGCCATCCTTCTTCTCCGATCTGCCTGAACAGCTCGATTCGATCCGGTATGTCTTTACTCTGTATTTTTGTATCCGAAGATTAATTTTCAGATTTGAGTAAAATCAATACATTTATTTTCAATCAGATGCTAAGATGAGACTTGCAAATTAATCGTTTACTAGCACTATAGTTTTATCGGAATTTCGTTTCCTAGCAGGTCAATTTGGTTTAGTAGCAGGGTTTAGGGCTTAGTAGCTTTACCGAATTTATTGGCTCCGTTTGTTTTGTCGCAGGTCAATAGTTTTACTCAAATTCTCGTTCTGTAAACACTTCCCCAGCCTGAAGAAATGGTCGGATGGCATCTGAATCTGCCTTCCTTACTGCGTCAGGCTGGGAGACGATTTGGACATCCACATACTGTGATTTCCAACTCCTGCTTTCACGCTAAGGCTTCTCCAGTTATGGGTAATCTTACTTTTTTCTTGAAGCAGAATTTTATTCCTGATTATATCTCGACTGAAACCAGAAATGGTTATGTATTCATGGGTTAGAACGAATTAATACGGAGTAGTCATAATTTCTTTGCATCCGCATTGAAGATTGAGATTTGATGGTTTGAGCTTAGAATTTACTCTTTTTTTCCAGAAATAAAGAAAATAATGACCTTATGCTCTCTGAAATTTTGTTTTTAATTTCTGATGCATTACTTAACTTCCTGGATGGTTGGCTCCCATGAATGTTCTAGGGCAGGTGTCTTATTCTAATAGTGTGAGAAATTTGCTTCGCCCATGCATCCCAAGGACGTCATTCCAATATCTACAGACATCCGTAAGTTTGAAAAAAGGCTGCCTTTTTTGTTTATTATTAAATCGCCAATCTAATACGTTACCTATCTGATGTGATAGGGGATTATAATTATAAGCTCTAGAGATATGAAGGAAAACAATGCATTTCTTTATGCAGGGGCTCTCTGGCTCGAGAGCATTGCACGATGATGCAACACCCGTATCTTCCCTATTAACACCACAAATAACATCAGGTGATGGTAAAACTGAGGCTGGGAAAGCAATTTTGAAGCCCTCTACAGTTCAGGCAGTTTTGAAAGGAATAAAACAGGTGTGTAATAAGTGAATACCAGACCCTTCATAACTTACTGAAATCTGACCATAGAAATCTATCACCTACTCAGTCTGATAGCTTACTTTGTAGTGTTTGACATGATCTAGCCTCTTGCTTGTATTTATTTTCGCTGCTTGTTGGGGTCTTCACGGAAACGGTCTTTCTTTTCCTAAGGGTAGAGGTAAGGTTTTCGTAAATTGTAGCCTACCCGACCTGTACTAGGTGGGATGTTTCTGAAATATCAAATATGTCTGATTGTCTGGTTTGATATATGATCCAACCTTTTGCTTCTATTGGCTCCTATTAGATAAAGATTTATATTTGTTTGCACTATTATATATTTCGTTGCCTCTAATTGCACTAACAAAGGTGGTATTAATGTATTGAGTCACACAATTGATTCTTCTAATCAAAATTGAGGCTAAGGTTATCTTTTTAGTTTATTGGTTTTTGTGCATAGTAGTGCACTTGTTTTGGCTATAGTACATTGTTTTGAATAAACGTTTTTAGCTTTCTCCTCTTTTATTGGGAACGTTATGCAGAGTCCAAAAAAAGTAAACCTGGTGGCTGCATTAGTTCGTGGAATGCGTGTTGAAGATGCATTGTTACAGTTGCAAGTGACAGTCAAGCGAGCTGCAAAAACAGTTTACCAGGTGAGGCAGCAGATTGATATAACCGATCAATTTTGTAGTCATGCGAGGAAGAACATGGGGTCCATTTGTTTAGCCGAGAATATAATTTTTGAAAATCTTATTCAGATGTGATGTGTTTGGCCCAAGAAAACATTTTCCATGTAAGATTTTCCTAAATTTGCCACATGAAAACATTATCCATGAAAGACTTTGTGCGGCACCAGATTCTCCTAGACTGTTTAGGCGTCTATGGAAAGGGAAGTTATTTTCCTCGCTAGATTTTCTATAGTTGTGGGCTAAACCTTATATTTTACATAAAACAGTTTATTTTCCTGCTTTCTTTTCCAAAAGTTACTTTCGTGGAAACAAAAAGAGCCTTGATACATCAAATAATTCCTCTTCTGCTGGCTTATGCGAGGGGATGAATCCAGAGACCAGTCTTCATGAACCCTCTTATCATTTACCTTCAGTATCTGTCATTCGTGCTGTATAACATGAACTTGTTATGCCATGTACAGGTTATACATTCAGCTCGTGCAAATGCTACCCACAATCATGGATTAGACCCAGCCCGTCTTCTTGTTGGTAAAATGAAGCAGAATGTTCTCTCTTCGTTCCATTCTGTTTATATGCTCTCGTCCCAAAATTATTGTGCTCACTTGTCTAATTTTTTTTTGGGTGTAGCGGAGGCATTTGTGGGGAAAGGACTCTATCTGAAGAGGGTATCTTACCACGCCAAAGGCAGGTCTGGCGTAATGGAAAGGCCACGGTGTCGACTGACAGTTGTGGTCAGGGAGATCACTCCCGACGAGGAGGCTGAAATCGCTAAACTGAAAGTCGTCAAATTCCGGAAGCTCACGAAACGTGAACACCGCCTGGTCCCACATAAACTCATCGAGACGACTCCAGTGTGGGCCCGTAGAACTAAATCTCGAAATAACAGACCAGTTGCCGACGATGATGCTGCTGCTGCTGCTTGAGCTGGTGTGGTGCCGCGTCCTTGGTAAAATTCTACCTGAATTTTTAGTCTTAAATCTTTTTTTTCTTTTGTCAAACTAATTCAGAACCTAAATGCGCTGCTTGATGTTTAAGTTCATTATAAGAGATAATTATTCGATTCACCCAAATTTAGGGCCATTTTGGTGAGCTAAGCAGAACTTATATTATACGGAGTACTCTCCCTATGAATATCTCTTTGGTTGTTTTGTATGAATTTTCCGAGTGTTCATCATGGTTCATCCCTAAAAATAAATGTGAAGAATTCCTCGAAGATGCGTTGACTTCATGAAACATTATGAAACGGTGTTTATTTTGGTTGAACCATTACACTGTGCTTTGACTACCAGAAAGAGGAAGCCACACTCTTTCAATTTGTTCTCAAAAATGAGTGTAGATAAAGATACAAAAATTACAGATTTGTTTAAAAGATTTACAAATAAAAAATGACATGATTATGTTATTTTATTAAACAATTAACAAGCATAAGTAAAAGAAGTGATTAAATTTGAATTTATGAATAATGTATTTGAACTTATTCTCTGACGGAGATAATACATTTTGGGATGAATGGGCTCGCATGGGCGCGGACAGTTCAACTGGCCTCAGAGGTAGAATTTGGAATTACAGACGATGATCGAGTCTCCTACTCTCCTGTGGCGCAACCTCTCAAAAAATAAGGGGCTCCTTGTGTGCAGTGAGCACTGGTCCTAGCCTGTGGCGAGTGATTTCATCTTTTGGAACAAGTGATGATGAAGCAGAAAAGAATTGAAAAATATTCACAAGCTTTGTATTGTCATTTTTTTAAAAAAATAATATAGTATCAAAAGACCATTCGAAGTGCCGCACAAGAAAATGGATGTAGTGAGTTATGAAGTCAATAAAATAATTCTCTTGTGTAGAATAATTTATTGTACAATTTCACAACTTTTGAAATATTATTATGAAAAAAAATATTATTGCCATATTATCGATTATTGAAAAAATGATTAGTTTCACTCTAAAAATACTTAAATTTGGAGTATTATTCATAAAATCCATTTTTAGAAAAATTTAAATTTAAAGTTAAAAATTAAAAAACGAAAGAAATAGAGATTTTATTTAAAATAATCCTTTTTTCATTTATTTACGAAAAATAAGTATTTTGTTAAGATTTTGTTAAGTAACCCTTAGTATCTCAATGGTAACACAAAAATCACGCACATGATAAATGATGTGATTATTTATGTGACAATGGAAGATAAAATTATTTTTGAAAGAGGTCAATGATATTAGTTGAGATAATTTTTCTTAAGTTGCAAGTTTGCAACCCATAGCTAGCCACGAAGCTGCGACTTTTTGCATATCAGGCTGCCGGACAGCTAGACTCGCCGTCGCTGCATTTTTTTTCGGTGGGCGGAGGAGCCCCATCGGTGTTTGTTGGCGTCATTAGCGTGGGCGTCTGCGGCGTTCGGGAGTTTTCGAATTTTGTAGTTCCGAATAGCGGCTAGGGGAGTAACCACCATGGCTTTATCCCACTTCACGGCCGCCGCCAAGCCCATCCCCGGCGCTCGCACCTTCTTGAACGCCAGGGTAAAGTGGGTCCGGGACCCGTACCTCGACAGGGCAGTCGAGAACGAGAAGAATCTCAAACCCTTACTCAGTCTCAAGGCATTAATCGTCTCCCAACCCTCCAAAACCCTACCGCTCCGAATCATTTCTCCTCTGCGGCCCCAGCTCAGGCTCCCAACCACCGCCCTGGATTTCGTCCGGAAGTATCCTTACCTTTTCAAGCTTTTCCGGCCTCCGAATATGCGGCTATCCACTCCTCACGTGAAGCTCACCCCGAAGGCTCTGTCTCTGCACAACGATGAAATGCTAATCACAGGCCTTTCGCATTATCGGAAAGACTTGGCTGAAAGGCTTGCTAAGCTCCTGATGATCGCCAGAGCTAGAAGACTCCCTCTGGGTGTGATTGACAAGTTCAGGTTCGATTTGGGCTTGCCGCATGATTATTTACTCAGTTTTCTACCTGAATTTCCCGATTATTTTCAGATTTGTGACATGGTGGCTGACAATCCTTCACCATTGGGTCCCCAAGAATTTGGATTAGAATTGGTTAGATGGAGGGATGATTTATCTGTATCTGTTATGGAAAAACGGTGGAGAGGTGAGGATTCCGAGACTAGAAGGAGAGGACCCATTAGGTTTCCGATGAATTTACCGAGGGGGTTTGATTTGGAGAAGAGGGTGAAGAATTGGGTTGATGAATGGCAAAACTTGCCTTACATTTCTCCATACGAGGATGCTTTCCATTTGAATCCCAGTAGCGACCAGGCGGAGAAGTGGGCAGTGGCTGTGATTCATGAAGTGCTCAACTTGCTAGTGTCGAAGAAGACGGAGAAGGAGAATCTTTACTATTTGGGGGACTATTTGGGATTTGGAATGAGATTCAAAAAGGCTTTGGCTCATCACCCAGGGATTTTTTACGTGTCTAATAAAATTAGTACACAAACGGTGGTTCTGAGGGAAGCTTTTAATAAGAATTTATTGATTGAGAAGCATCCATTGATAAGTATGAGATACAAATATATTTATCTCATGAACTTAGTGTTAAGAAGGGGCATTCCCATACATGCCGCAGCCATTCGAAATAGAGAACGCTTGGCTTCTATTAAAGGACGAAACATTGGGAAAGAGGGAAGGGGCCAAAGATTAGCAACAATTGGTGATCGCTATCATGGAAATGAGAATTAAAACACGTGAAAAGAGGCAATGATCTCTTGTGGAGTTATGGAAATCTTTGGCTCCTGCTGCTGGAATGCCTGGAAGACGATTTGGGCATCCTCATACTGTGATTTCCAACTCCTGTTTTCACGCTAAGGGTTCTCCAGTTATAGGTAATCTTACTTTTTTTCTGGAAGCATAATTTGTATATCTCGAGTGAAACCAGAAATTGTTATGTACGTAGTATTTCATTTGTTAGAACAAATCAATTTGGAGTAATAATAACTCTTTTGCATTTGCATTGGAGATTGAGGTTTGATGATTTGAGCGTTGAATTTATTCTTTTTCCAGAAACTAGTTTTGAGCCTGTGTGTTGCACGTCTAGATAATTTTCCTTAATATACTATATGCACATACTCCATTAGAGAAAAAAAATGAAGAAATCCAAAGTAACTACTTTATCCTAACGATGATCCACGGGTAGAGTTTTTACAAAAATGTATATTACAAATATTACAAAAGAATCGGTAAGTATAAATATAAATAATTTATGCATATTTTTCTTGGTTGGAGAGCAGTGGTTCAATATTGGTGGTCTTTAAAGTATAGAGTTTAGATTTTATAAGATGATTTCATGACATCTTTGAGTCTAGAAAAGATTTAATATTGTCCCAGCATTGATTTCCAGAATTGGCCCAGCAATTTACCCTAGATCATAAGAGGGGCTACTTGTGCAGTAGAAACAAACTGACTTGGACTGATATTATTTGGAACAACAGGGTGATTGCAAAACACCAATTTGTGATTTGGCTAATTTGCAGGGAAGACTCCAAACCCAAGCTAGATTGTGTAAGTTTTTGGAGTTGAATACCCAATGCTTGTTCTGTGGAATTGAAGAGGATCATTGTAACCACTTGTTGTGTAGATGCAGTGTTTCTAAAGAGCTTTACAACCAGCTTAAGTGCTGGTTCAAGTACGAATATTGTGCAGACTGCTTGAGAAAGTTTATCACACAATGAAAGTTGCACGGAAAGAATGTTTTTTGCGTATTTTAAAAATAATGATTTAATTAAATGTCATTCATATAAAATAAAGAAAAAAATGAATTTATACTCTCTGAATTTTTGTGTTTAGTTTCTGATGCATTATTCAACTGTTTTGATAGTTTACTCCCATAAATGTTCTTGTGCAGGTGCCTTATTCCAATGGCATGAGAAATTTTCTTTGTCCATGGATCCCTAGGACGTCCGTAAGTTTGAAAAAAAACTATTTTTTTATGTTTATTATTATATTGCCAATTCAATCTGTTACCTATCTGAAGTGGTAGGGTATTAAAATTATAAGCTATGGAGATTTGAAGGAAAACAATGCATTTCTTTAGGCAGTGGTTCACTGGCTCGAGAAGATTGCGTGATGATGTAACACCCTTAACTTCCCTATTAACACCATTCATAACATCAGGTGATGGTAAAACTGAAGCAGGGAAAGCAATTTTGAAGCCCTCAACAGTTCAGAAGGAATAAAACAGGTGTGTGATAAGTGAATACTCCAAATTGTGATATTGAGTTCATTTGCGGCTCTTACCATGTTTCCTTCGACCCGAAAGTGATTTTTACCCCCCTCTAATCCCTCACTCAAATGCCCACTCGCTAGCACATCCCCTGCACTCCACCCAGTCCCTCCAAACAACCCCTCTTTTAACAATAGATCGATATTTGTCACTAATAAAATTGAAATCCAAACACCGTCTAATTAATATGTCCTCATCAAATGACATTCGCTAAGGTTTCTATACATACTTATACTCAATATATATTCCTATTATTCAAAAGAAATAGACAAAAAAATGTATATAGTAGAGCTCATTGCATATTGATAGAAGATTTTGTTAATTACCAATAACAATTATGATGATTATTTATTCAAACAGATATCATTCTATTGTACAACACAAGACACACACATAACATGCAGGCACATTGCCAAACGACGGGAACTACTTATTTAAAGTTCATCATGTGTAACAGTTTTGGGTCGTATTGGTATTAATCTTCTGCAAACATCAGGAACAATTCCATCACCACCACCCTCACCGTGACCTCCTCCTCCACGGGAATGGCCATTTCTATTCAGGAAATCATGGAATATCTTAGCTGACCACTTTGGACTTCTTGTCAACTCTTTCGTGCTGCGGTCTACGTTGTATAAACCCATTCTTATGGTATATCCGCTTGACCATTCCAAGTTGTCTATGCATGTCCAAACAAAGTAACCTTCCACCCTTACTTTGTGATCGCTGCATGCCCACAAATCCAGTCATTATTATATCATTCACTTAACTTGAGATTTTGGTAAGAAAAAAAGTGTTGATTATAACAAAGGGTGTGGCTGGGATTTGTTTATTTTGAGAGATTGAAATATGTCTGCTTATACACAATTACACATCCTTTCGAGATCATACTCTTTATATATGGGATTTTACTAGGTTTATTGTTGCTGGATGTTCAAGACATTGCTCTTACCAAATGGCTTGGCGAATATAGAGAAGATGACGACCATGATAGTTTATCCTCCACGTGTCCTTGGCTGCATCTTGCAGAGAGAGATCTACGGGATCACCAATTCCTGCATGCATATATCTAAAGGCTATGAGCATCGATCCGCACCAAACAGAATTGAAATGGTCATGCAGGTATACATAATGCCAATGAACTAGCTCAACCAAAAAACTCAAGCTTGCGTTTGTAGGTACAGGAAAAGTTTTTATATTCTAACACATACACCTAATTACCATTTTCAGTGATATAGATTATCGGGTTTTTGTAGGTGTCTTTGGTATATTTGAGAACATCAAGAATTCCTTCCGGGTACACATACAACCAACTTGGAGAAGCCTGCAAATCATGTAAGTCCACATAATAATACTCTACTCAGTACTCTTAATTATCATTTTTTTAATTTGTAAATTTGAGACAAGCATACCTGTTCACCAATGGGTTTACCATTCTTATAGTCTGCAAATAATTGATTGGAAATAATTAAAGACATTACATTATAAACCAGACATTCTTTCTATGGTTAAAAAACAAGGATTATGCATAAGGTAAGGCACTTACCTGATAAAGTAACACGCTTATCAGTTGAAACTCTAATATGGTTTGGATTAGGGTCGGGGGTAAAATTGGCAGAGACATAAGTTGAAGTGTAAGAGTTAATGCCAACAAAATCATATGAGTTCTTCAACATCTGTTTCTGGTCCCATGTAAATTCAGGCAACCGTTTAGGGACTAACGTCCTCATTGTCTTTGGATAATGACCATATACTATAGGATCCAAAAACCTAATTAATTACAGAGTAATAATAGTAATTAGTTCATAAGGATCAATACTCTCTAATAACTAGTTTATTAAAAATGAGGGAAAGGAATGGAAGAGAGACCAGCCAAAAGTGAAATCAAGGTTCCTATGAGCTGCTTCAATGTCTTCGTGGCTATCAGAAAGAGGTATACTCCATGTCACATCCAGTGTTATCCCAATCTTGCCCTTGGGTGTGGAATCTAAGTCTTGATACTACATGCAACATGAAATTGGATGTTACGTATAACATACAAAACAATTTTGATGTAATTGATGATTAAAATTCGTCTAGTTTGATTAAAAAAAGTTATTCCGTATGATTTAGAATCCCCTCCGTCCATAGATTTCTTTATCTTTTTTTTTTGAAAATCTTTATCATTTGATTTTTCATGACCTCTATTTATATATAAATATATATTATAAAAAAATATAACATTTCAAAACTATATTTTAAAATGAATCTGTTGATATTAGTTTTATATGATAATTCAATGTAATTTTTTTATCAAAGTTTAAAATTTTTGAGCAAGATAATCAATCTGGAAAGAAATTAATGGGCGGAAGGAGTACTCTCCCTGAATCTTTCCAGTCCGCGTTACAATACTTGACCAACTTTGTTTTCAATTCAATTTATTAGACTCTGGGTGTGAAATTTTAAAATAAAAATTATATATTAAAAAACTATTAAAAGATCAATAAAACTAGAGGTGACATGATTATATTATATTATCAAATGAGTAATGAAAATATAGAAGTAAAGTACGGAGTATATAAAGTTTGAGTATGTGAATAGTGTATCTAAAGATTCGAGTGAGATGAAAGGAGTATTATTTATTTACCTTGGTCTTGAATAAGTTGACAGCGTGAGCGTGGGCAAGGAGGAGATTGTGGGCAATGATATAAGGTTCTGTGGATGAGTCACCGGCTTGGCATGCCCGGTTCACCCATGAAGAACATCTCCCTGGGGCGGACGATCCCGATTCCCACCCGCCCATGCTAAATTCATATGGCTCATTGAATGTGATCCAGTGCTTCACCCTGTCCCCAAATCGTTGAAAGCAAAGTTCCGCGAAATCCTTGTAGTCAGACCTGTTTTCATTCATTCATTCATTCATCCCGTTATATATGTAATTGTGTATGGGAGAGAACACGGCCGTGTTCTTGGTTTTTAAAATGGAGGAACCGAAATCGGAACTTTATCATCCGGTTCTGATCCGTTTTTTAGGTTATGTGAGACGACTTACACAATTCTTTGGCTCAAAAAGCCACCGTACTTGTCTTCTAAGGCTTGAGGAACATCCCAATGGAATATTGTCACAAATGGTTCCAATCCTGAGATAAACCACAAAACCAGTGCCAATATTACTACTATATTGCTCCCTAACTAACCACAGAGGCTCATTCGTCTTAATTTAAATTGTTTGTTAGACTATTCTCATGGTTGAATTTTAACTGCGTTCTTTACATATTTTTATCACTTCTTGTTTTATAGAACTTTTAGTTTTTAAATATATAAATTTTAATTTTTAATTCCCTACCAAATTTTAAATGATTTGAATTGAAAATTGTCGGTATGCCATCCAATTGTTTTGTTATAGACCCAAATTAAAACTTGTTCCTACCCCTTTCGTTCCCCTATATTTAATTTGCTATGATATTTTGAAGTAGAACCATTTTTGGGGGGTGTATCGAACCGTTGAAGCCGTTTTTAGTCGCGATCAAGATTAATCAAAGGAAGGGCTTTATTGAAAAAAAGGCCCGAGGAAATATTGGCACCCTTTGGCATCGGCGTTAGTGATTAATGTTAGCATTTTAAAAAATTGTCCAACAGTAGCCTTTAATGTCAGTGTTTTCAAAATTAACCTGCACTGTTAAAATTTTATCCAAAACGCTAATTGAAAACCTTGTTTTCAAACGAGACCATTGTCATTCGAGTCATATGGAGACCTTCATGATGTGAACACATGATGCCAAAGAACATTGTAAAATAGCAACACCCAATGTCAAACTGGGGCGTTTACCATTCCAATACTTTTATTTAGTTAATTACCGTTGGCTATAGCATCATTGATGACACTGTTGTAAAATGCGATGCCTTCTTCGTTCACTCCTTCGCTAACCCTTCCACCTGCAACCGTATATGCATTTAATTTTAAATAAATTATTATAAAATTGAATTGTAAAAATAATTTAAATTAAACATCGTTATCCGAAAAGATAATTATATTACTCCGTACTAAATAAGGATTGGACGAAATAATAATAATAATAGTAATAATAATAATAATAATAATAATAATAATAATAATAATAATAATAATAATAATAATAATAATAATAATAATAATAATAATAATAATAATAATAATAATAATAATAATAATAATAATAATAATAATAATAATAATAATAATAATAATAATAATAATAAAGCATGCGTACTAGGGATCACTCTTGGCCATGAAATGGAGAATCTGAAGGCATTCATTCCAAGTTCACTGCTCATTCTCTTGATGTCTTCCTGTATGCATTATATTCATATTTAGTTGTTCAATTTCAATGACAAAAAAATAAAAAATTGAGTTTAAATATAATGTTTAAAAAAAATTCAAACGTGTATACCGCCCAATTATGTCAATAATATTTATACCCCATTATTAAGATACCTTAGACAATTCATTATAAATTATAGATTTAAATGTATAATTAGTTTTGGCAAAACAAACATAAAAAAAATGAACATTTAGACGGAGACGTTGGCTGGAAAAACCACTAGAGCCACAAACAAAAAATATACAAACCTCTTTTTAATAGTGGATTATTGTAGTAGTACTATATACTCTGTCCTTGGCCTCCTCCCTAAAAGCCCTTTTTTTCATCCGTTCTAAAATATTTTTTTCATTTTTATTAAAAAATCACTTTTATTCCTACTAATTCTTAACCTACATATCACATTACATATACTCACTATTAATCTACCAATCAAAATTGTACTTTTTATTTATCACATCACATTTATTTACTATTAATTAATCTACACATCAAATCCTACTTTTTATTCATCACATCCAAGGACATTTTTTGAATCTCAGCACCAAAATATATTCTTCTTAAATCTTTTAAAAAGGACGGAGGAAGTATATATATACTCCGTATATAAATAAACTTACTTTATACTTATCATAAAAATCAACTGCAACATCTCCATTGCTTCCATCCGTAATCCTTTCTGCAAAAAAAACTACTTAAATAAAACGATCATATATATATATATATATATATATATATATATATATATATATATATATATATATATATATATATATATATATATATATATATATATAGTATCAAAATAAGATATTATTTCACATTATAAACCTTAAATAACATGTTTTAGTTTATAGCATTAACCTGGATGCTCATGAGAAAATGTGTCCCAAATACTGGGTCCTTTACCGCTTCTATTGTGAGCTCCTTCGACCTGATATATAAAATATATACTCGTATTATATTTATTATATGTTTACTATTTATATTTATAATCACTTACTTTATCCATTTTTCATTTATTTGATAAAATAATATACTCATATAATCTTTTTTTATGTAGAAGTTTTGATGCAACTTTAAATATATAATCCACCCCAATTTTTAAATAAATTCAACATTTGAAGTCAATTTTAATCAAATATACTCCGGGTAGAATTTAAAGTGGGATGGAGAGAAACGGTACTCTCTTAATACTGAACTCTTTTTTGAAAAATTTGTACTAAATAAGACTAAAACATGAGTCATTTTGCAATGTAGGATTTAAATTAACTTTTTTATTTTCTAAATAGTACTTAATAATATTTAGTGAGAAGAATAATGTCCAGTGATGATGAACATTTACTTGAATAATGACTAATGGATAATGACCATTGGTCCTATATTTGAAAATAAAAATATATAGTCATATATTGAGAATTGTATCATGAATAGCTTAACTTGTTCCCTTTGTTATTCGAGTAAAACTGGACAAATTTTAATTCTTTATTACTTTCAATTTGTATTGCATATTAATACAATAGAATAAATTTTTGAAAGTTTTAAACAAGTTAAATATATCAAAATTATTTTTATACTAATATAGATAATAGTTTTTACTTAATTTAGGATATAAATTTATCTTGTTTGACTCAAAAAACTCAAGTTGGACAAATATTTTGGGACGGAGGTAGTATGCTTTAGTCATATTTAGGTCAAAAGTATTGTGGTTTGTATACATAAAAGAGAAATTATTAAACCAGAAGACTTTTTTCTTTAAATGCGAAATGGAAGAAAACTTTGAGAAACACAAATAAAAAAGTTTTTTTTTAAAAAAAAAAACTCTCCGTAATTATATATGGAACGAATTGAAGGGAATAATTATATTACTTGATAAGCCGCCGTGGCCGTTCCAAAAAAGAAATTAGCCGGAAAATGAAGACGGTCAATGGCTACAGGTGAAAACGGGTATGGGTCGGCGGCGGCGGCGCCGGCGGCGGGGATCACATTATTTGACGAGGATTCAGCTGTGGACGACGAGCCATGCACCACCAATATTATGCTTGACGACCTTAATAATAATAATATCAAAAATTCTTTCAACACACCAAAACTTTTGGTATCTTTTATTATTTTCATTATTATTAGTACTATATTATTACGGAGTATTAAAGTATAAGTATTATTGTGTTGTGTGGTTTTTCTCTCCCTTTTTTTTCAATGTTTATTTCGATCTTTTATCACGCACCATATATATATATATATATATACACACACACACACACGCACCATATATAGAATTCACCACGTGACTGCAGAGGCGCATGCACGTCCTTTTCGTTTACTCTCTATTACTCTCTCCCACCCACAAAATATTTATTATTTTAATTTTTAAAGAATTTAAGAAGATAAGAATATATTCTAGAGTTGACTTTCTAATATTGTCTTTAAATATAATAGGTAAATGTGATGGGTAGATTAGTAGTGAAAACGTGTGATGTGATAGGTAGGCTAAGAATTAGTATTGATAAAAGTGACTTTTCAATAGAAATGAGAAAAGTTTTTTTTGATACGGATGAAAAAAGAAAAGAAAAAGATTTTATGGGACGGAAATAGTAATAGTCACTCTCTTTTAAAACTAAATTTCTATTGCGCTATATTATGTATACCTGAAGTAATTTGTAATTTAATTAATATATTGAAATGTTGGTTCGAAACTTAAAATAAAAAATATTATATATTCAAAAAATATAATACTCCCTCCGTTTCTTAAAACCCTTCCTCTTTCATTTTTTTGTTTTTCTTAAAACACTTCCCTTTTCTATTAAAAAACCACTTTTACCCCTACTTTTTCATACCCTACCTATCACATCATACTTTTTCACTAATAACTAAAATATCACATTTTACTTTTACCCATCACATCAGGGACAAAATTGGAAAGTCAACTAAAATTACACATTTCTTATTTTTCCCCAAAGTCAAAAGAGGAACCGTTTTGAGAAACGGAGGGAGTAAAAGATTTACGAAATTAGAAGTGGTAACATGGAATTATACTTTTATAGAAATAGTAAAGAGATAAGGCTAAGAATTAAGAAAGTGGATAAAGTTTGGTGGAGTGAATTCAACATTTTGAGTTATTATGATTATTTCAACTCATTTTAATAAGAATATAAAATAAAAAAAATACCGAGTAAGACTTCTAAATTGTAAAACACATTAAAAGTCATTAGGACTTTTCAAATTTTTATAGTTGGGTGCATGTCTATCTCTAATTGCTACAATTCCACCCTCCATTCGTCTATTTTGAGTAAATTAAACATATATCAATTTTAAAATGCCTTTCCATTATTGCTTTGTTCTAGGGGTTTAGTTCTATGTACCCGTTTTTTTCTTTTTAAGGACACACGTGTCTTTTTATTCATAAAAGAAACAAACTCTTGAGATTCTTCTTGTTTGTGAACAATATTTTTATTAGTGTTAACATTTTAGATAAAATTTAATTTTAATATTATAAATTAATTTTAAAATACCTACATATAAACAATGTACTTAGATAAGCTTTTCAAAATGATAACACTAAATGTTTAAGTTATGCTCAAAGTCTCAAACGCAACGTATGTGTGCCTTTTCAAAATGAATGAGGATGAAAAGTATCTAATTATTTTCTTTCATCATTTTTTCTCTCTTAAATAACAACAACCCCGTAGAATCACACAAAAATAGGGTCTAGGAAAGTTATGCATACTCTAACTCTACATCAACTTGAAAATAGAGATGTTATTTGGAAGAGGCCCCAACTCATGCAAGAGGCAGCACCATGACAGAACTATAGTATGCTGACATACTGTAGAAAAAATGATACTCCCTATAAAGTAGTGTTTTAGATACTTTTTCTGTCTTAACAAGATATTTATGTTTCATTTTTTGCATATCACATAAAATACATCTTCCCAAAACTAAAATATCTAAATTACCATATATTGATAGAGATGTTGAAATGCGTATGGACAACTGGATTGGGTAATAAGACACTTGAGTTGAACCACATTAAAAGATTGAATCCAATCGATTATTTAGTTCAACTCAAGAGCTTATATAACGATTATTTTGCTCTTGAACTTCCGATGTGGGATGACACTCTGACATATATATTTCTTCTTTATTAAGGGTATATGAAGTTTTTCAAAAAGTATTTTAAACATTTGATGTGAGATAAATGATACGAATATCGTATCGGATAGGAAAGAACTTCGAGCGTTCTTCAAGCTCCAAGAAAGGGGAGGTAAAGAAAGAAGGAAAACTTCGAGCGTTTCCGGGCTCCAAGAAAAGAGAGATGAGAGATTAAGAGAATTCTTGATTATTGATTGATTGAATGATAATGATACGGGATTACAATATATAACGATGAGACGTCCACCTATATGACCTAATGGGCTCGTGCCCAGACAAAAACCCTAATCTATAGAATATTAATAAATAATAATAAATAACTACTAAATACTAATATAACTAATTAAAATATTGTAATTAACTATTCGTATCATTCCCACCTTCTTAAAATCCACCTTGTCCTCAAGGTGGAGGCTCCCACTCATGCTTTAGGACCGGAGAAAGAATGCTGAACCAAAGGAGTAGTCCACTCTTTGAATCTTCAACCATCTTGGATCTTGGAGCAAAGTGATGGAAAGATGAGACGGGGCGCAGAACATATGTAGTTGCTCTCGGTGAAACCAGGTGCTCCGTCTTGACCACATCGACAAGCTCAAACAACTTGATGGTGTCAATCAACATAGGTGAGTGTGCTTGTTTACCATCTGCATCTGTCACTTTGTCAACACTTTTTGGAATTTCATATTCTGCAATGACCACACCAGCTGAGGTAGAAAATTCCTGAAAAGTAGAATCTGGCTTGTCGACATTAGCAACATCTTCTGCAAGAGGACCTTCATTTTTGTCCACAACGTTGAACCTCCCGTCATCTTTGTTTATTGCTGCAGGTCCGATATCCACTCCATCTCTAACTTGTGAGTCAATGCTTGATCCCTCCTTGGATGCGTGGTCCTGTGTTTCAGCGTTTTGCTCAATTACTGTAGAGACCACATTTGGCGCATGTGGCGGAATGTCAATGAAAATTTTCATAGCGCCCAACATGTTTGTTCTAAAGTTTTGTAACTCCAAAGGAATCAAACTCGGCAAAATTGGGGGCCCACGGACCAAATTCTGTACCGAGCAAAAAATATCTACCTCGAGCGTATCATAATCATTTTGACCTTTACAATTATGGATTGACCTGAGCTTCATAATAATTTCATACACGTGATCAAAAATCAAACACACCCCTTCATCATACTCAATTTCTCCATAAAGAACATTCTCTAACAAACTAAGAAGTCTCCCAAATGTAGAGTCCATCGTCAAAATAAGCACCACGTGCCGCACAAATATAGCACCCAAAAAATACCTCAAATCTTGTGGCGGTTAATTTAACTTTTCTTTTAGATGGTGCAATTGATGTAGCAATTCAGCCAATTCTCGTAAGAAGCAATTTTTGTTGGTCGTGTTCCTCAAATTGGCAGTTAGCCGCCCAAGAATTGTGACGGCTCGTTTCTTCAAAGTTTACAAAGAGTGATGACGGCGGCCGCTGAGGCAGTGGACGACGGCGCTAATTTAGGGTGAACCTCACCTCTCTGATTTGCAATTGAAAAAAAAAGGATGGGATTTGCTAATACAATTCACGGCAGCGACGAGGTGCGCGGGAGTGAAGCAATTTCTGGTTAGCAATGAATCTGGCTCCCAAGCCTAACTTTTTTCTCAATTAAATCAAAATTGGAGTGTGGTGTGTGGTGAAAAATCAAAATGGCAGAGACGACAACAGATCTGACCAAGGAATGAGTTGAATCACCCTTTGAGTTCACAGATGATTTGTATCTTTTTTTTGAAAGATCTCTCAATGAGAGCACCAATTGATACGAATATCGTATCGGATAGGAAAGAACTTCGAGCGTTCTTCAAGCTCCAAGAAAGGGGAGGTAAAGAAAGAAGGAAAACTTCGAGCGTTTCCGGGCTCCAAGAAGAGAGAGATGAGAGATTAAGAGAATTCTTGATTATTGATTGATTGAATGATAATGATACGGGATTACAATATATAACGATGAGACGTCCACCTATATGACCTAATGGGCTCGGGCCCAGACAAAAACCCTAATCTATAGAATATTAATAAATAATAATAAATAACTACTAAATACTAATATAACTAATTAAAATATTGTAATTAACTATTCGTATCAGTAAATGTGTTTCATGAATGGATGCACAAAAAATGAAACAAAAACATTTTTAGGCACAGAGAGTGTACACAATAAACTATAACATAATAATTAGGAGGTAAAATAAATTTATTTTGTTCCACCATCCTTGACTATAATCGAGTTCATCTTACTATATAGTTTTCATTAATCATTTGATAAAATAAAATATTTTTGTCACTACCTGTTTTGTACTCCCTCCCTGTGATCCCAAAAAAAAAATTCTGTTTTAACTTTTTTGTCAAACAGTTACACACCTTAATCACAATTTGTGAGAAAAGCATACTTAATTATGATATAAATTCAATATAATTAAGTTCATCTTAGGATATAGTTTTGATATATCAAATTTTTATATCATTATTTATTTAGATTATGTTTAATTTGTGGTAAAAAAAGTGTCACTGTTTGACCAAAAAAGTCAAAACATAAAAGTTTTTAATTTTTAGCACCAGAGGAAGTAAAACTTTTGATGTAATCCGTATGTTTTAAATATGTAAGTTATATTGTCTGACTGACATTGATCATTTTTAATCCTTGACTTATAATAAAATAAAAGTCTGACACGTAAAGTCCGTAACATTTCTATTAAAAAACCACTTTTATCCCTTACTTTTCCATACCCTACCTATCACATCATACTTTTTTCCTAATAATCTACCCATCACATCCTACTTTTACCCATCACATCAAGGGTATTTTTGGAAAGTCAACACCAAAATATCACTACCTTAATTTCCCAAAAAGTCAATATGTACCAATTTTTTTGGGACGAATGGAGTATATGGTAATGGTATATGAATCTAATAAAATTATTTTTGTATCGATATCTATCACAACTTTTATTTAAATTATAGTCTAAATTTACCAATTTTTCTTGAAAAAATAAAAAATGGACAAAAACTTAAGAACAAATAAACAGAGTTAGTCATAGATATTTAAAAGCTACGACAAAAGATTTACAAATTTAAATGTGACATGATTATATCGTTTAATGAAATGGCTAACGGAAATATGTAAATAAAGTGAATAAAGTTTGACTTCTTGAACAATGAACGAGAAAAATTTATAGACGAATGAGATACTTTTTATTTTTATACTAATTTAGAAATAAAATAATTTTAAAAAAATATGTTTGACATCCGAAGGCTTGAAGAGGTTATCACAAATGGTTCAATATAAGACATATCTCATGGGAAAGTCAAAAGTGTATAAATTAATGCCATTTCGTTATTTTAACAACTAAAGTCAATGGCTGCGTTTGGAGAAGAGCTGTTCAGCCATTATTTGGCTGATTTGACGACCGAAAATGGCTGCTCGATTTACCAGCCAAAATTGTTATTTGGACCTTTAACAGCCAAAAAGTGAAATGCTAGTAGCGTTTGTGATTATTGGCTTTTTCATTATGCCCTTTTTGTTGTAAAATTAAATGAAAACATGCGGAGTAATATTCAACAAAACATACATAGTAAAAAATACTACCTCCATTCCAAAAACATTTACACGTTTTGACTAAAGTTTAAATTAAGGGAGGGATAACTTTGTGTTGACTTTCCAAAAATACCCTTGATGTGATGAGTAAAAATAAGATGTGATGTGTAGATTATTAGGAAAAAGGTATGCTGTGCTTTGGGACCAGATTAGATAAACTCTGTGACTTGTCTTTAGTTTGATATAAATCTAGAATTCGTAAAGTAGGGTTTGAAAAAGTAAGGGGTAAAACTGGTTTTTTAATAGAAATGGGTAGGAGATTATGAGACGCAATTTTTTTGAATGGTGTAAATCTTTTTGAGACGGAGGAAGTAAGATATACATTATTATTTATAATTACTTTCGTACAGAAATGTTCTTTTCATTTATTCTTTACGCAAAACGAAGTAAAATTCTAAGGTTTTTCAATTCATTTTATTCAAAGATTAGTTTATAAATAAAAAATAAAACTTACATATTCAAAAAGTACAACAAAAGTTTTACAAAATAAGAGGTGACAAGAATATTGTATTTTATCAAATAATCAATAAAAATACACAAATAAACAAAAAGTTCTCGCGATTTTTAAATAGTGAAATATGTAAATCATAAAACGACGGATGAAGTAGTAATTAGTATTACAAAAGTTAATGTCATTAGCTAAAATCAAGTACATGCATGTTTTTTATTTTTCATAAACCAAGTTGAATTTTCTTTTAAATCAAGTTGAAAACTAATACATCGTACATCAAATTGAATTTGTCTAGCATAGCAATTAAGAATGAAGAACTATTTTTTCAATTCATACTTTTTATTTATTTATTTATTACGGAGTAATATTATTTTGCCTTTGAATAGAATTTTTATCATTATCCTCATTATTACTCCCTCCGTCCCAAATTATAATGCTTGTTTACTATTCACATGGTCAAACTTCATTCACTTTCTTTTTCTATTTTCGTTAGCAATTTGATAAAATAAAATATTATTATCACTACTAGTTTTGTAGATCTTTTGATGTAGTTTTTTAATATGTAATTTTTATTTTTTAATTCTATACCATTTGTCATATAAAATGGTTTGAAAATAATTTCAGTCAAACATCGTAAACCGAAACAGGCGTTATAAAATGGGACGGAGGTAGTATTATTTTGAAGGTTTGTTACGTATAGAAATTAGTTTTGCTCTTAATTTAGTCGTCATTTTTGAATGCAGTGGGACAGTGCTTGGTGGCAAGCCATTAAAATTCAGAAAATTCAATCACGTCTCCATTTCTGCATTTCACAAAACTTATATGCGAATGAGATACTGTATAGCAGCATTTATTATGTTAGGGACGACCCAACTGATTTTAATTAAGCACAGCTCACAAAAAATGATCCCACTTATTTTTTATTTAAGACGTACTTGAGTTTTGAATAAATGTTTTGGTAACTCTACGCGAAATGACCCGCTAAAAATGGGTCAAATCCGATCGAATCCGAACTCGATATGACCGACCCGTCAATGTAAATGTTTTTCAAAATCATATACACTTTAATATGAAATATAATGTTACAAAAATAAGATTAATTATAATTATATTTTCTTCTTACTTCTCGCTTTTAATGTACTCCCTCCGTCCCTAAATAAACTTCACTTATTGACTTTTTGGGAAATTAAGGAAGAAATATTTTGGTGTTGACTTTCCAAAAATACCCTTGATGTGATGGATAAATGTAGGATGTGATGAGTAGATTATTAGTAAAAAGGTATGATGTGATAGGTAGGGTATGAAAAAGTAAGGGGTAAAAATGGTTTTTTAAGGGAAAAGAGGAGTTTTTTAGGGATAGAAAAAACGAAAAGGAAACTTATCTTACTTTTTTTCAAAATGTTTGCATATTTAAATTTTTTTATTCGTAATATTGACACTGAGTCATAAAAATTATTTAAAATTTTAAAAAATAAATAAAAATCATAATCCTTCAGGTTGACTTGACGCGATGACAATGGATCATAAACATGTAGTTCTCAACCCAAATCCAAACTTACCCGAACCCACAGTAATCTGAATCAAAACTTACCCGAACCCACAGTAATTAGTAATTCGAATCTGACTTGACCAACCGATTTGTCAGCTCTAATTTTAAATTTTAAATTTTGAATACTTGAATTTAAGCTCTCATTTGTGTGATCTCCGTCCCATATCTTATACTCCCTATTTTTTACTTTGGCAGTCAACTTTTTTAAAAGTTGTTCACAAATTTTAAAAAATATGTTGAATTATAATATAAATTTAAGCTAATCAATTCATTTAGAAACATAATTTTAAAATGTATCATATTTTTATATAATACTCTCTCAGTACCACTTTTTATTTTGGAACAAATATTAAGACAATGAAAAAAAGCAGGGGAAATGTCTAAAAATGCCCCTATCGAAAAAGTCAGCACACCGCACACGGGTTCCAAAGAATCCAAAGTCATCTTCTTCTCCGTCACGTTTACCGCGGCCGTCCTTTCTTCAGTGGAAGACATTCAATTGAACTTATGAAAATATTTTATTTTAAAAATTATATAGATCAATATTGTAATTTTAGGACAGAGAAAGTAATACTTTCTCCGTCTCTAAAAAATGTTTCTATTTCATTTTCTGCATATCTAAAATAAGAAAACTTTCAAAATAACTTCTACTCACAATAAAGAATGAATATTGCAAATTTTAAATATTTTAGATGTTTGCAAAAGTATACATTACGAGGAAATATTAAACACAGAGTAAGAATTGAAAATTTTGTTACTTTAACAAATTGAAGGATTTTATTAAAATTTAATAAAATAACAATTTTCAAGGTTAAATTTAATATTTGTGAAACTAACAAAAAATTTCAATTCTAAAGATCACATAGACAGAACATGCCCTCCGAAAACATTATCATAAATTTTGAGGACCTCCGAAGTTTATTAAAAATGATGCTGGACTTGAAAGTTCTTACTCGAAAATCAAGCGTACTCCAAAGCATATTTCAAATAATTAATGTGAGACATGTTTTAAAAAAACCTATTATTTCACTGGGTCACTCATATTGGATTAGGACAGGTTTGACCCTTTTTACAGGTTATTTCGAGTTCAATCATCTTTGAGTTCGATCAACAAAATATTTGTTAACATAGAAACTTTTAGTAAAATTTTGAGTTAGAGAGGCAGGAATAAATTGTACGTCCAACTAGAGGCAGACCCAAGGGGGTCAAGTGACTCCACTTTTTTTGCAAGTAGTCCCTCCGTCCCTTAAAGTCGTTCCCTTATTGACTTTTTGGGAAATTAAGGGAGGAATATTTTGGTGTGATTTTTCAAAAATACCCTTGATGTGATGGGTAAAAGTAAGATGTGATGGATAGATTATTAATAAAAAAGTATGATGTGATAGGTAGGGTATGGAAAAGTAAGAGGTAAAAATAGTTTTTTACGGAGTAATAGATAAGAGAAGAAGTTAGGGGGACAAGAAAAAAAAAGAAAGGGGAAGGAGTTTAAGGGACGGAGGGAGTATATAATACTGCTATGTATCTTGTATATATGCACCTTTATCAAGATTATTTTTTTAGCAGAATTTAATTTACTCCATTTGATGTTTTCATGTCAATGGATTGTTAAAATGTTACATGGTAATTATACATTATTTGTATACTTTGTATTTATGATATTATTTTTACAATTTTAACAATTTATTCCGACTAAAGTGTTTGAAAGAAATGTCAAAACATAATACCTTACAGAGTTGTTATTTACTCATGGAGTAATTTTTTCTCTTATTTAGTTGTCATTTTTTTAAAAACTATAGAGTAAAAAAGTACAACTTCATAGAAATTATGTGTCCATCAAATACAAAAAATGAACCCACTTCAAGGACATCCTGAGTTTGCCACTGTGTCCAATGGAGCACCGTAGTTGCTGAAGCCCCGAATGGATTAATGTCGGCTTTGTTTGGTTTAATGCCAATTGAAACTTGCCAAAATTAAATACCATCTTTGTCAAAGTGTATTTATCTAGTTTGAATTTTTCAAGTCAATTTAGACAAATTTTAGATTTTAAATAAAAGAAAACCACGGAGTATCCATTAGATTTATCTTGCTAAAACTTTTAAAATTTAATTTTATTATATTAGTATGTAATACAATTTGAGAGTAATTAATGATTATATTAAATTTCATCTAGTTTAATTCAAAAAAGTCAAACTAGACGAATATAGTAGAACAGAAAACAGAGAAAGAGATGAGAGAGTTTGGTCGAGATAAGAGAAGAGAGAAAAATAAAAGGGCAATCCGGATTATTTGTGCTCCCATGCGGATGAAATTTTAATATATACTCCGGTATGTTGTTCTTGACATCCTCTTTTTTGTATCCAACCGTGGGATTATTACTTTGACCTTTTGATGATGTTAAAATAGCCTTTGTTTGCTATTGCATTTTTATAGTTTTTTTTATAAAAAATTTGACAGAAGATTATTGTTGTTTGGTGTTCCAAGTTAGTGCTTGATGATTGGGTATGTCTCTAATTGATTAAGAGACTATTGTTGTTATTTATACCCACTGAAGTTCTTGGTGATTAGTGAAAGGTCTTTGGTACCATGCTTATAGTCTCCTGGTTTTTTTTCTCCAATTTTGGTTTTCCACGTAAATCTTGATGTTCACTCATAGATTGATTGATTATTTATTGCTATGCTTAATAATATTGATCGATCATATAATCTTACACATTTTAACAACACAAAGACGGAAAAATTATTAATTACTTCCGTTGATATAATTAAATTTCCCACGAGTGAGATTCATTTTTTCCATCTCGTATTATAAGAATTTAGAACTACACTACAATCATTCAAAAGAAATTAAATAGGCATCGAAAAGATGTGTATATAATAGATCTCATTGCATGCATGCATATCGATAGAAGATTTTATTAATCAAACTACCAATATTAATTATGATAGTTTTTTAAACTTTATTTAAACACACACAGCTTGACGACCCAAACTAATTGTTTAAAGTTCATCGTGTGCAACCTCGGAATAAGCTATAGCTCCGATAGCGCAAGGTTGTTGCTGCTCAGTTTCAGGTCGTACTAGTATTAATCTTTTGCACACATCGGGAATACTTCCACCACCATGATCTCCTCCTCCTCCTCCACTTGTCGTTGAGCTGTCAGTTTTATTCAGAAAATTATGGAACCACTTAACTGACCACTTTGGAGTTCTTGTCAGTTCTTTCGTGCTGCGATCAATGTTGTATAAACCCATTCTCACGGTATATCCGCTTTGCCATTCCAGGTTGTCTATATATGACCAAGCAAAATAGCCTTTCACACTCACGTTCTCTTTACTGCATATGCCCATATATTCAATCATTATATCATCCACTTACATTCTTATGCCTCACTTCATATTTTGGTAAGAAATGTGTTGATAGGAACTAATTAAGGGCGTGGACAGGAAATATTTAGAGTGCGTGGCACTTAATTTAATTACTTTCCTCAAAACAAAAATGGAAGAAGCTAAGTGCGAAGTTTGTTAAATTTTAATAATAAAAAGAGTGAAGTTAATAAGTTCATGTGGGATGAATGCAATATATTTCTTTTCAATATGTTTATTAAGATATTGTATGTACTTACCAAATGGCTTGACGAACATAGAAAAGATGCTTCATGTGATAGTTTATCCTCCATGTGTCCTTAGTTGCATCCTGCGGAGAGAGATCTATGGGATCACCGACTCCTGCATGCATATATCTAAAGGCTATGAGCATCCGCGTACATAATATGAGATTGTTACTCTACATGTGTAACGTATATGCATAGACCCACACACACACACACACAAAGCACTTAATTACCATTTTCGGTGATATAGATTAACGGATTTTTGTAGGTATCTTTGGTATATTTCAGAATTTCAAAGATTCCTTTTGGGTACACATGCAACCAAGTTGGAGTAGCCTGCATGGAGATCATGTAAAAATACACATGCATGATTATAATAATCCACTTAGTAACCACGAGTATTTTTAAAAAATTGTAATTTTTGAGACGAACGCACGTAGTATACGTACCTGTTCACCAATGGGTATACCGTTCTTATATGCTGCAAATAATTGATTGAGAACAATTAAAAACTTGGCATCATTAACTAGGCATTCTTTAATTTCTATGGTTAAAAATAAGGATTATTAGGCAGCATAAGGTAATTAAGGCACTTACGTGTTAAAGTAACACGTCTATCGGTTGAAACTTTAATATGATTTGGATTGGGGTCAGGGGTAAAATTGGCAGCGACATAAGTTGAAGTGTAATAGTTAATGCCAACAAAATCATATGAGCTCTTCAGCATCTGAGTTTGGTCCCAGGTAAATTTAGGCAACCGTTCATCGACAAACGCCGTCATTCTACGTGGATACTGACCATACGTCATAGGATCCATAAACCTAATTAATCAATAATCACAGAGCAATTCAATAATAATATCTCTAATTAGTTCATAATGATTGATCAATTTTAATACTCCCTAGTAATCTATAACTAGTTGTTATTAATAGATATGAGGGAAGGGAATGGAAAGGACCAGCCATAAGTGAAATCAAGGTTCCTAAGAGCTGCTTCAATGTCGTCGTATCTATCTGAAAGAGGTTCACTCCACGTCACATCCATTGTTATCCCAATTTCTCCCTTGGGTGTGGAATCCAAGTCTTGATACTGCATGCAACATCAAATTATGGGATGTTAAATTACTTATCAATTGAAGTACTATTGTTTATTTATTTAATTACTCTCTCTATCATAAAACGTTCTTCTCAGTTAATATTCACATAGTCAAACTTTAATAACATTTTTTTTTTACCTATTTTCATTAGTTATTTGATAAAATAATATAATCTTGTCACATCATTTTTATACAACTTTTGATGTAGTTTTTCAATATATAAATTTTATTTTTTTATTTTACACCTACAATCAAATGAATTGAATTGAAAAATCGAGTCGGTCAAAAATTGTAAATAGAAACGAAAAAAATGTTTTAGGACAGAGGGAGTATTACCTTAGTCTTGAACAGATTGACAGCATGGGCGTGGGCGAGGAGGAGATTGTGGGCAATGATATAAGGTTCTGTGGATGAGTCACCGGCTTGGCATGCCCGGTTCACCCAAGAAGAGCATCTCCCAGGTGCGGACGAACCCATTTCCCACCCACCCATACTAAATTGATATGGCTCGTTGAATGTGATCCAATGCTTCACCCTGTCTCCAAATCGTTGAAAGCAAAGTTCCGCAAAATCCTTGTAGTCAGACCTATTTTCATTCATTCATTCTATCATTAGTAAAAGTGAATTTTCCCCAAGCAGCACCAAACTTTAAGACTTTTCTCCAAATCGTATCGAACAAGGTTCTTTTCCAAAACTAACATTAAATTCATTAAATATTCATTTACTAAAACGCCCTTATCTCTTTTTCCCCTTTGATCAATTCTCTCTCCTTGATTCCTCTGCTGATATTTTTCTTTTGATGGACATTGTAAAAATCATGAACATTATATTGTTCACTGATTAGAGACGTTGTAAAATCTATCGACATGAAACATTTTTAAAATTATGAACATTGTTTACTGATCGGGGATAATGATGGCTTATGCAGAGGACATTTATAATTGCAACAATGTCTTGGCAATGTACATGTAGACATTAACGATGATATTGAACATTATTAGAGTTAAACATTGGAGCACTTTATGATTGACGATCGGGGAAGGACGGTAGAACATGATGGAGAAGTAAATAGAAAATCATATATAGGACATTTTAGCATACTACTAGAATCAATATTAATAATTAATTAATTAAATAGACATTAGTTATAGAATTTAAAACTTGTGGTACTATATAAGAAAGTTCAATATGTTTAATATGACATGATATATTTTTGGACTTACACAATCCTTTCGCTCAAGAAGCCACCGTACTTGTCTTCAAGGGCTTGAGGAACATCATAGTGAAATATAGTCACAAATGGCTCCAACCCTAAGATGCATTAGACACAATAATTACTCCCTAGTATATTATATTATTGCTCCATTATAATCCTTAGAATTTTATGAGAGGAATGAAATAATTAATTACCGTTGTGTATAACTTCATTGATGACCTTGTTGTAAAATTCTATACCTTCCTCGTTCACGCCTTCGCTAACCCTTCCACCTGCATATATGTATTCATTTGTTTATTTAACTTTAAGCCTAGCTAGTAATGTTACTCAGCTGGTCGAGAGAACAATGTCATAAGGATTAATTCGAGTTTTGCAATTACCACGTACAGATCTCATGCTCTAGAATTTAAAGTATAACTTAATTATATATCAATTTTATAAAATGAACTTTTTTTGGTAAGAACATGTGCGAAACATCCAATAATTAATGCTACGTAACTAACTACTCAATCCGGCTAGGTTGGTCCCAAATTGTTGGTTTAATTTTACTTTATTGAATCCGTTAATCTTTAATGTTGGGCATTCCAAAACGATATATAACCATATATGTCAATTATTTATCTTGTAAAATTTTTTATCTATCATTTTACACCAAAATAGGGAAGGAGAGAAAACAAATATATGTAGGGATTATGTACCCTCCATTTACAATTAATTAATTATTATATTTTCTTGTGATACATTAAAATTTAAATGAAACTAGACGTAATGTACGTCAACATTTGTTCAATTTCTCATGTATCTAAAAACTCAAAATGACCACTTAAATATATATAAATGGAGGAACTATATATATATATATACACACACACACACACACTTTACTTACTAGGGATTACTCTTGACCATGCAATGGAGAATCTGAAGGCATTCATTCCAAGTTCACTCCTCATCCTCTTGATGTCTTCCTGTATATATATTCCGTATTAAATTCACATTTTCTTTTATTTGTTCACTAATAAACTCCATCAACTTTTTTTTTAATGAGAGCAATATGTGAATTAAAAATATTCCTATCTTCCAAATAAAATTTGGCAATTCCTCTTTCCATTTTAAAAAATTTTACAAAACAAGATGCGAGAGATGAAAATACTTTATTTTATCAAATGAAAATATGCATGCAAATTTAAGTTATCGAGAGGCTTCAAATAATAAACATGAAGAACTGAAAGATGAAACTCAGACATTCTATTTAGAAGAGTGACCTTGGTGACATAAGAGCACAAGGTCTTTGGCATAATATTTGACTTTTTTTAAAGGGACATTATATTTGATTATTAGTTAAAGAAAATTCGCTAAGTTCGTGCATGGTAAGTTGATAAAAATGTTACATTTATTTTCTTATATATAGAAATATCCGAAAAAAGCATGTTATACTTGGTATTTATCAAACCTAAATTTAAAAAAAAATGAGCGTTACGTTTATACTCCCTCCGTCCCATAAAATCTTTCTCCTTTCTTTTTTCATCCGTCCCAAAAAACACTTCTCATTTCTATTAAAAAGTCACTTTTACCCCTTACTTTTTCATACCCTAACTATCACATCATACCTTTTTACTAATAATCTATCCATCAAATCATACTTTTACTCATCACATCAAAGGACATTTTTGGAAATTCAATACTAAAATACACTCCCTTTAAATCCCTCCTAAAAAGCAAAAGTCCCATGTTTCATGGGACGGAGGAAGTATTATAACTAAACCACTATATTGTATGGAGTATTGTACTTTCTTACGTTTATACTATAACCAAACTAAAAGTTTTTTGAGACAATTCAAGAAACAAATGGAGAATTTTTAAAAAAAAATCATGATCAAATTTTAATAATTTTGACTAAAATAAATTTTTCGTACTTCGTATTTATGATAAAAATCAACTGCAAGATCTCCGTTGCTTCCATCCTCAGTCCTTTCTGCAAAGAAAAAAAACGGAGTATCAAAATAAGTATACAGATAAAAAGTACAGGGTGAAATCACAAGTCTCAATATTACGATATATATTCCTTATTATTAATATTTAGCTTCACACATTTCAAAGTGAATCTTTGACAAAAAAAATTTGTTGAATTAATTAAAATAAAAAATACAATATACGGAGTAAAGTTTAGTATGATCGCTTAGAATATTTGTCCAGTTTGACTTTTTCGAGTTAAACTAGACAAACTTTGGACTCCAATTACTCTCAATATGTATTATATATTAGCATAATAAAATACAATTTTGAAAGTTCTCAATACGATAAATCCAATAAAGTCATTTTTATATTAAAATACTTTACGATTTTTATTTAATTGAAGTTCAAAGTTGGTCCACTTTGACTCAAAAAAGTCAAACTGGACAAATACTCTGGGACGGAGGGAGTATTAAAGAATATTGTTGATCAAGTATTTAAATTATAAAATGAATAAGAGAGTAAAAAAAAAATAGAGAGTAAAAGTAATGAATGAATGAATTGGAAGAAACCTGGATAGTCATGGAAAAAAGTGTCCAAAATACTGGGTCCTTTCCCCTTTTGGTTGTGAGCGCCTTCGATCTGGTCCATATATATCCATTATTATACAAATCATGTTTTAATTTTTGTATTTTACTCATCATTATTATAGATATTTAAACTTTTAAAAAAGTCTCTTCTACAATTGCAAAGCCTACGGGGCTGGGTAATCCAATGAGAAATTTATCTAAATAGGACTAAAACATAATGATTTTCCCAATATAGGATTATATGTTTTTATTTCCCAATGTAGGACCTTTGGTCATTATCAAGTAGTCATTATTCAACTAAATGTCCATCATTATTGGACATTATTCCTTCCACTAGGTCATTATTAAGTCCTATTTAGGGAATAAAAAAGTTTAAGTCCTACATTAAAAAGTCATTATGTTTTAGTCCTATTTAGTGCAAATTTCACTAATCCAATTAAAACATAATCTAAGGAACTTGCTACGGTGTCCACACCTACATCCTCACGTATTTATATCTACACAGAAGTACAGTAATCAAACGTGAGCAACACAAACGATTATAGTTTGTGTATGTATAGAATCGTGTTTATTGTCATGCGTGGAAGCATATAATTGGTGGGTTTTTAGCATTACCCATAATCGAAATATATAGTTCTAAGTGTCGTCCTTTAATTCTCAAAACCAGCCCAGGTCTATTGTGGTGCGTAAAAGAAATAAAAATATTTCCCCGCCTGTCCAAGAAGGGTCCAAACCGCCCTAACGGTCCGGGCCTATTTCTCAAATAGTCTAAAATTTTTAATTGTTGAATATATAATTTGCACTCCCTATTATACTACCTCCGTTTCTCAAAAGAGTTCCTCTTTTGACTTTGGAGGAAAATAAGAAAGTGTTAAATTGTAGTTGACTTTCCAATTTTGCCCTTGATGTGATGGGTAAAAGTAAGATGTGATAGTTTAGTTGTTAGTGAAAAAGTATGATGTGATAGGTAGGGTATGAAAAAGTAGGAGTAAAAGTGGTTTTTTAATAGAAAGGGAAAGTGTTTTAAGAAAAACAAAAAAAATGAAAGAGGAAGGGTTTTAAGAAACGGAGGGAGTATATATATGTACGTATCATTTTTTATAAAAAAATAGAAAACTATTATATAATTTATTTTAAAAAGAAGTAAAATCTCAAGTTTTTTGAAATCATTTAAATACGGAGGAAGTATATTATACTTGATAAGCAGAAGAGGCAGCTCCAAAAAAGAAGTGAGGTGGAAAATGATGAGCATCCATTGCAATGGGTGAAAACGGCGGCGACGCGTCGGCGGCGGCGGCGGCGGCGGCGGCGACGGCGTTATTATTATTAGACGATGGCGGCGGCAATGATTCAGCTGCGGACGACGACGAGCCATGCATCACCAAGCCTCCCCATATTAGGGATAACAATAGCAATAATTGTTTTACTATTATTTTCATTATTATTATTAATTACTATATATGGATTGAATATATATTTTGTGGTTTTCTCACCCTTACCTTCTTCTTTATGTTTATTTTGATCTTATGTCACCATACACTACGCACTCATATATATATATATATATATATATATATATATATATATATATACACACACACACACATACACACCCACATACAATACAAGTACCACGTGCGTGATCTCTATCCCCCCTTTTTACACCTTTCCCTCAAATCTTTGTTTTCATTTTTTTTATCTCTCTCCACATGTGTAGCTCAACTGGTCTAAGGAGAACATGTCAAATTCATTGATCTTAGAGCCGAATCTGTTAGTGTTTCATCCCACATTGAAAGTTCAAAAGCAAAATAATCGGTATATAAGCTCTTGAGTTGAACTAGCTAATCGATTGGATTCAATCTTTTAATGTTGTTCAACTCAAGTGTCTTATTACCCAATCCAGTGATCCCTACCCCATCCTAAATTCTATCATGGTATCGGAGTAGGTTTTGGTCCACCTCGTTTGTCAAGGTGCCCGTCTAGACGTTCATTCCTAGCGGCCCGTTTGTCTTTAGCCTAGTTGTCCGTATGGAGTATGTACACAACGACCTGTGGCCCGTTTAACACGATTGCTCGTTTGGAAGTCCATACCCAGCGGCTCGTGGTCCTTTAGATGTTGGCGCTCAAAAAAATTCAAGGGAATGGGAGTTTATTTGCAGGTGGTCAATCGGTTAGATTCAAAATGGCCCAGTTGTCCACTTGAGGAGAAGTGTTAGAGTGTCATCCCACATCGGAAATTCAAGAGCAAAATAATCGGTATATAAGCTCTTGAGTTGAACTAACTAATCGATTGGATTCAATCTTTTAATGTTGTTCAACTCAAGTGTCTTATTATCCAATCCAGTGATCCCTATCTCATCCTAAGTTCTATCAGTATATATATATATACTCCCTCCGTCCCTAAATAAACTTCTCTTTTTGTCTTTTTGAGGATTTAACGGAGGGATATTTTTGTATTGACTTTCCAAAAATACCCTTGATGTGATGTGTAAAAGTAAGATGTGATATGTAGATTATTAGTAAAAGGTATGATGTGATAGGTATGGTATGAAAAAGTAAGGAGTAAAAGGGGTTACATTTTTAAGGGAAAAGATAAGTTTATTTGGGGACAAAGAAAAAACAAAAGGGGAAGTTTATTTAGGGACGGAGGGAGTATATATATACTCCGTATATATATATATGTGTGTGTGTGTGTGTGTGTGTGTGTGTGTGTGTGTGTGTGTGTGTGTGTTTGTATGTGTAGTGTGTGCGTGTGTGTAGTTTTAAAAATAAATATATGTTTCATTTTTTTGAATAAAAAGAATGGAAATTACTGGAAAATATCCTAGAAAATTAATTAAATTTATTGATTTTTAAGGAAAGCAATAAAATATATAGTTGTAGTGTAATTTAATGAATTCTTTGTAAATTCCCATTATTTTAAAATCCAATCATGGTTAGCATTTTGTTTTGTTTTTATTAATGAAAACGACCATTCGTTGGTATTTTTAATTTCAACAACATCACTAATTATGTAATAATATCGTTTATGTAAATAAATAATAAATATATGTGTATAGTTTTAAAAATTAATGTATGTTTCATTTTTTTAAAGCTTTCAAAAAATGAACATTTACTGGAAAAAATGTAAACAAATTTATATTACTTTTTAATGGAAGATTACTTTTAATTTATTGATTAGCAAATAGGTTGATTGGCACACTGTTGCTGGCCTTTTATTAGTTAAAATGAAAGTCAATTCTCTTTGAGTAACAAAAAACCAATATCTTACATTGTTCATAGATTTTAGATCACGGATGGAGATTATTGTAAAACCTTGCTGACATTAAAATGTTGTAATCGGCACTTGTTCTAAAATATTAAAAACAACAAATAAGTCTAAATATTAAAAATTTATTGGACTTAAATTTTTGTGCCAGTATATTTCAAATTTATATTCAAATAATATAATAAGAATACCATTGTATAGCCTAGGTTTCACCATTTGCATCACCAAAATTGGAGGTTGTGATTCCGCTTCATTGAGACCATCGATCAACAAATTGATATGATTTACCCACAATGTACAATTTAACCGAATGCCCCTACACATTATAAAATAAAAATTAAAACATCAATCTTTCACGAATTAAGATTATTAATACATGGAAATAATATGAATTGAAGCTAAGGTATGTAATAAAATTTTTATAAAGTTTATTCTTAGCTAAAAAGACATTAATATAGAATATAATTTTTCACATACTTGTGATCCTCCAGTGTAACTTTTATCATTTGCTCTGGTGCATGTTTTACCATACGGGTTCCGGGCAGGCTTCGACTAACAACTTTCCTAATTTCATCTGAAAGTGCCAAAATATAAGACAGAGGTATTAAAAAACGTAATATAAATATGTGTAAGTAATTTATTTATAATAATCTAAATGACGTTTACCAATTAAAAGCACACTGTCACCAAAAGTCATTTTCTGAATTTCTTCAAATCTCATAAAGTTGTAACAAAAATTAATTGGGAAATTTATTTTCCGAAATCTTTTGAAGCTTCATCTTGCTAAAGAAATATAGCATGAAAGGGTGATTGATAGTTTTCGTTGTTTGATAATTGCGTAATACTTTGAGTCTCATCACTAAATAAACATTATTTTCTTTCAAATTTTCTTTGAAAGTGCGTATATTCAAATTTCTGATCTGCGCATCTATTCGATCTCCTTAACAATGAAAATAGAAAAATTATATATAACAATCACTACAATGTTCTTATTGAATACGTATTTTAGATTCATATTAATGGAAGAGGTAACCTCTGAGTCATGAAAAATAACATCTAATGATTCGGGTTCCCAAACATGGATAGAAACATGCTAAACTCTAATCGCTCTCAGTTTTAATATCTAGAGCAAAGATCTCTCATCAATATTTCTTACAATAGTTAAGATCCCCATGTTTTGTTCAATTGGCGGATTTGAAAACGCACTTCAAAGAAACTAATTACGAAAGTGTTTGTGAATGACTGTATTTATATTATTATTTTTTTGCTTATTCTATTTTCCGTTTTCGGAATTTTAATTTTTAAAAATACAATGTAATTTTTCAGCTAAATCACACGCTTGGTGTGGCTTACCATTTCAAGATTCGTGTTTCAACCTCAATTTTTTATTATTAACGTGTATTTATTATTCTTTCTAACCAAAACCGTGTATAAGGAAATCACATTATTTAAAATACTTATAAAGTATAAATGGAAACCCAAATATGATTTTAATTTTGACACTTTAAAATTTCATTATTTTTTGACCATCTTTTTTGGATACAATTTATAATTTTGGATCAAAAAATATAAGATATGAGAATACTTTTTTTTGTTCGAGGCAACACTCTCGTTTTTTTAAATACGGTAATTTATTTTATACACGGTAATCACGCAAAGGGAACATACCATTTTTTAATATTATTATTGTTACGTTTCTTATTTTAATTATTATTATTATTATTATTATTATTATTATTATTATAAGGTACCTTAATATTACCATATTAATAATATTACTTTTTGACATGTTACATTTTTTATTCTTTCACATGCTAAGTCAATGGATGGTACTATATTATTACTATATTAATATTCTTTCCAACAAAAATCATGTATACTAAAATTACCTTATTTAAAATACCTATAAAGTATAAATGGAAACACAATTATTTTTTTATCGAATTTTGTTTCACAATGTCATTTCAATTTTCAAACTCTAAAATTTCATTTATAATAAATAATGTTGGACCAAAAAGCATTTGGTATGAGAATATTTTTTTTCTCACGGTACCCTAATAATTACTCCACAATATTAGTACTTTTGATAACACGGTATTAAAAAATTATACTTTTTATCACAAGATAACATGTTAATTATACTTTTCTATAACATGGTATCATAATTAATATACTTTTTATAACACGGAATTAAAATTTTTTAGGTATGGAATTACCTTAATAATAAATGATAATTAATAATTACAGTTTTACATGTTTTTT